TGTATCAGATGCTGATAATAAATCAAAACAGGGATGGCAGAGTCAAGACCTAGTACATTTCATGAAAAAGACCCTCAATAGAATAAGCAATAATTTGATCTACTAGTGTGCAAAGATTTCCCTGGTTAGTTTAACTTCAGGGATGATGGGATCTAGAGAGGCCACAATGTCTTTAGGAAACTTTCAGTGCTTTACATAGGTATCATTCCAAGCCATGCAATTTCCATGGGGAGACATATTGGCTGCCTAGGCTTGCAACTTTTCAGCTCTTAAATTCAGTGGATTAAACACAAAAGGCAATGTTTCCTCCATCCATAGGGATTAGCTCTATTTATGTCTTGGCTGAGATCATACACTGAGATTATGCAGGCCAAGGAGTTGCAGTGCTTTGAAGTCTGAGTTCTCTGCTCACCATTGGACCCATGGGTAGTAAGCATTTATGTCTAACTGTCCTCAAAAAATTCTCATGCAGTCATGGGGGCAGCAGGTTTCTCACAGTTGGCTGATCTAGAGTTTGTGATTCATTTATAGCCCAATACTAGGATTAAGGGTACGTGTGCTACACCTGCCTTAGGATAGGTAGCCCCCATACAATATATGGGACAGAATACAATATAAGGGACAGAAACAACCTTTTTCCTGTCTCTCTTTCCCTGTCTCATTGCTTTACTGTCTTCTATACCACAAACTGCCTTTTTGCCATGTGTCACCCTGCCTTGGAGCCAGCCAATTATGAACTGAAATCTCTACAAACTGTAAGTCAAATAAACCTTTCTTTCCTCTTTGGGCAGAAGATAGGCACTCTTTTTAAAGGGCAAGTCCCAAAAGCTGCTAATATCTCTTTGGCTAACGTTTCATCAGTAGGTATGATGGTTCACTTTAGGTGTCAACTTGACTGAATTAAGGAAAATCTAGAAATCTCACAAGGCATTATTTTTGATTGTTCATGAGGGTATTTCTAGAGAAGACTAGGCTGTGAGTCTGAGTGACTTGATGGGGAAGATCTATCCTCAAAGTGGATGGACACAACTGAATAGGCCAGGGGCTGGACAGAAAAAAAAGTGATGACCAATTCCCCAAACTGTTCATATACTTCTATCCTACCTATACTGCATCTTAATACAGACACAGACACAGACACATATAAATGTAGACAGAACAGGCAAACACATCATTACTGTTTTTTTTCTCTTCAAAGAAACAGTTTATACCTATTTCCAAAGAGGCTGGGAAATGTGTTTATTTAAGGAAGAACAGAAACAAGGAGGCAATGTCAGAATGTGACACCTAATAGTTACCCCTTTCTCTGTTGCAGAAAGTGGTCTTCTAAGGTTGAGGACCAGTTACCTAGAATATAAAAATCTTTGAAAATAAGTTTGAATACAAAAGGCTTCACCATTATCTTTTTTGATCACTAAACTTCTATTAACATATGCAATTTTTTGTCTTGTTTTGGTATGGGGTTTGGTTTGAACTCACTTCTCGCTTGCCAGGCAGGTGTTTACACCACTGAGCTAAATCCCCAGCTGCAATTTGTTTTTGAAATTATATTATTTCCTTGGAAGTTGCTAAATTTTCTCACGAAAAAAAAAAATGCGTAATGCTTCCCACAACCAGTGGCACAGCACTAGTATGTCTTTCTCCAAACTCTTCAACTTCAAAATAGCTTATGTGTCCTTCCATTTTTCTCTCATGTTCATTTAGAAACACTTGTAGATATTTGTTATCAGGATATATAGTATCAAATTTTCTTTTTGTTTAAAAAATGTCATAGACATACCACAAGTTAACAGCTGGTGAGTCAACTCATTCTGGTTTTTGCTTTCTTCCAGTGCTAGGAATCAAATTCATGGCCTTGCACTTGCCAGGCAAGTGCTGTGCCACTGAGATACATCCTTGGACCATTTTTTTTAAAGACAAGATCTCATTATGTAGTTCAGTCTAGCCTCAAACTTGCAGTGATCCTACTGCCTCAGCCTCTGAAGTCCTAGGATTACAGGCATACACTATTACATTTTGATCCAACTTATTTAACAGCTGTGCACTCCTGAGTACAGCTATTATAAAACTGATGCACCATTCCTTTTGTGTCCTTTAAAATTATTTCTACTTTTCTGCTTCCACAATGCATATTATAATAAAATTTCTTGTACTGATGTTTTTAAATCTTGGTACTTTCAGTACTATGTGGTAATTTTCGAAGTAGGACTGCTGCATTATCCCATCTTCTAAAAGATTGAGACAATCCATATTCATTCAAGTGTATGTTTTCATTTTTCTTGATTTTTGCAAGCACTGTAATTGCTATTTTAAAATTTGTAAATGGTACCCTGTTGTTATGATTTACATCTCCCTGATCACTTTGATCCTTTCATATTCTTATGGTATTCAGTAATGACTCAAAACACACACTGAATTAGATCACTTGAGATAGTCACAGCCCTACCACCCACTGTGTCACATGGGCATGTTACTTTATCCCTCTGAGCCTGGATTAATGGTGAAAAATAGATATATTACCCACGGCATAGGGGAAACTGAAGATTAAATGAGATAATACTTACAAAGTGCCTGAAACAATGCTTTGAACAAAGCACTGAGAAAATGGCTGGTCATTTATTATGAGCCATTTAACATAGCTTCAGTTTTTATGTTACATATAACATAAATCATATAGCCTACTGACACTGTAGATATTTTAAATTTGTGTAGCATTCTTAACATACAACACCAAATTCCCCAACAATATATTTCTTAAGACATAGCCTTGTCCTTAAGTGGTGTATGAATATTATTAGGGGTACATCCTGTATATTAGGGATAGTAATTCCAAGCATATTTACTTATGTCAGAAACATTTCCCCAGTCTATCACATCTTTTAGGTATTTGTCTTAGAGACAAATGTCCACAGTTCCCTTCATAGTTAAAAGAGCAACTCAAATTTTCATTTTTAATTGGGTTTTGAGATCTTCCAAGTCTTCTCAATTCTCCCAAGACATCGATACTCTGTAAGCCAACATCTCTTCTGAAAAATGGTTTCTCCTAAGAGATCTTAGTAATGTTACAAGTTCAACTGGCATTTTAATTTTAGCAATTTGGAGAATCATTCTCTATGTGCTATCACGGACTTAAGCACAAAAAAATTTATTCACCCTGGGCATAAAAAGGCACTGGATTTTGTTCTGTGATTAAAGATGAGTTCCAGGGTTTCAGCTTGTCCTCTTCATCCCATCCAATGAAATCCAAGTAAATATTCTTGTTCAGTGGTTTTGGTCATTTGGATTCACTTTACCTTCTCCTATTCAACCTGGTTCTAAACATTTGCTCTCAATAACTATATGAAACTAAGTCAGAAGACTATTATTACTGTTTTGCTTCTACTACTACTTCCCTTGCCTCGGACACAGAACACATTAAAGCTACCCTTAATTCAGACTCAGTGCAATAATTTCTGAAATTTCCTATGCTCCTGAGTCTGGAGCCTACCATTTTATCTTCTAATATCAATTTTTATAGTGGTTTAGTCATCTGATTACAAAAAGTAACAATTCATTTTGGCTGACAAAAGGACTTATAAATTATAAGGAAGATATACTCTACAAGTGAAGGAAAATCTAGATAATCAAGCCTTGCTTGAGAACAGGAATCTGGTTCTTTGTTGATCTTGAATTTATGAATGTACTGTATGGTTTTCTTTGAGACACTACCATCAGAACAATTCAATTTCTACTACTTTGTGTTACTTCTGTTAAGCTCCAAAGTCCTAGTACAAAAGCAATTTTGCCAAGACAGCTTGGATTACTCAAGCTTCAGCTAAGGAGTACGAAGCTTTAGTACTGTAACTTATAGTTCCATTAAAACTACACAGAATGGCAAACAGTAGTTTTCCAAAACACAAGGGATCTATCACTGAAAAAAAGACATGATTTAGGGCAATCCAAAGCAACAGGTGTCTATTACACCAACATTTTACGTGTTAGGAAGGAGGAAAGAAACTGCAATGGGGCAACAGCCAGGAAATCAGGAAATGCAAAATAACATGGCACCTAAAAGGAATGTTTTAAGATGATGGAGTTGTCTGTGATGCTGAAAGCTCAGATAAGATGCATATTAACAGACCTAGCAATTGAGACCAGAGTAACTCAGAAATTAAAAAACAAGTGATTTTCTTCTATCTAGTGTAAACAATGCAATAGGGCTCTTAATACATTAACATCACATGAGAACAGGAATAATTTCACGAATTATCACAATATAAATCACTAATAACGTAAGTATAGGCCTTTCAAAATTGTACTGTAAAAAATTAAGTAACAATTACTGAACTCTGAGTTTTTCAAATAAGGTACAGCAGTCAGCCTGAGTAATGGATGAATAGAAGTATCTTAATATTCACTAGTACAAAAGTGGGTATTTTTAAATCATTTGACAAAACAGGTTCAGTATTTAGTAACTTGCCAAGGTCAAACTGTAAGCATTAAATTTATTTTTAAAATAAAGTTTTAAAAGTAATGTGGTGGTGTAAAATATCCAAATACAGAACTGTGTAAATTTGACGTTCATGTAATCTACACTATTGAAAACCATTAACACTTTTCTATGCATTTACACACGTAAACACACGTTTTAAAATGTGCTTACATGGTATACTTTTCTATCCATAGCTTTTTTCATTTAATAGGTCATGACCATATTTCCATGTCCATTCACAATAAATGTACCTTATTTAACAGATAAGAGTTTCTCATATGGCTGGACCATCTTATTTAACCAATCCTTTACTGATTAACATTTGTTTTCTTCTATTTATTTTCTACCATGTTACTTCTGTAGTAATTCAAATATTCTCTGTTCTTGTTTCATTTTTGTCTTTAACTTTAAAAAATAATTTTAGTGTGGCCATGACCTTAGTTTTATGAATGCTTGAACTTGTCAAGTTTCAGTGTTGGTAGACACTATATATTAGGACTCAATTTCAAGTAACAAACTCAACTCAAAGTAACTTAAGCAAAAAGTGTATTTATTGTTTCACATAACTGAAAAGTCCACGGGATATACTAGCTTCAGGCACAGCTGGATCCAGAAGCAAATATGCTGTCATCAGGACTTGAGTCTCTCCATCTTTTGGTTCTGCTTTCCTTTGCCCTGGCTTTATTCTCTGACTGGCTCATTCAATGTGGTAGACCCTGTTGGTTTGAATGTTTTTTAATCCTACAAACTAAAGCACCTCAGTAAAGAGAATTTGTTCTCCATAACTCAGTAAAATTCAGAGGGATGAGATATCACTGGACCAACTTGTGAATCATACAGACACTCCTGAAAGAACTGGTATGGTTAAGGAGACGGACTTTACTGACTGGTGAGGTCTGATTAATATGTCTACTCACAAAGCTTTTGGGCCAGACTGTCCAAACTGTATCAACTGAAAATAGGAAGTGATGAATCCAGAAAACATCAGGGAGTTTTTAAAATGAAATGGTATGGATGCTGGGTAATCAAAAACAATTTATGTCCAAATAGACCAGAGACTGAAAATGCTGAACTTCTGTTCATAAAGGGGAATGTAGTTAGAGCTGGTTCCTCAGTAATGAAATTATTCTAAAATAACCATGAGTGTAAATTTGTCATTTTCAGGAAGCCTACAGTCCATTTGAGTAATTATATCCAATAGGGTATTCTGGATGATACTATAGAATTTCAATGCATGCAAACTCAGTTTTAGGGCTTTTGCCAGAGCCTCACCATTGTGGTGACAACAGGAAAACAGCCTCCCACTGGCAAATAGTTCAGCGAGGCTATTTGTGTCAGTGATAATTTAAGTTCAGTGAAAAACTTTTCTCATATCCCTTTAAGTCTTGCAAAGTTGAAGTAAGACATTTCTGTGAGTATTGAGGAATCAAGACTCATTGTGTGTTACTGCAGAAGAGAAGTAGACTATTTTCAATCTGCTGTACTCTTTCCAGATGTAGTAGAAGAGGTCCCAGGTGCTATATGAGCAAGCACAATCTTAGTCTCCATTTTAAAAAAATTAAAAAAAGCTGTTGATCAAGGTGTGTACAACTGGTACTTTCTGTTGTGAATATTAAGTCCTGGTGGGGTGAGGTACAAGCTAATCTCTATTTAGAAAACCTTGGTGGAATTCTGCACAAGATAAGCTAAAACTGGCTGTAGTCTTCTCAAGGTCAGCAGTTGATTGCAGCAAGTCAAACAAGGCAGTTAAGAGCTGAGATAGATAAAATGACAACGCAGGGTAACATCAGCAGGGCCAGCAAAATCAACTACCAGAATATCACTTGGAACATCAGGCAAAATAAGAAATGAGTGTATAAATTAGTTTTTGCCCTGGGTCCTCCAGTTATTTCATAGGGCTTATGTCAAATATAACTTTCTGATTTTAAAGGACAAGTCAGATATAGCATTTTTTTTTCTTGTTCATCTGCCCAAGAAATACCATCTCAGGAGAAAGCCATATCCTTAGTCCAGACTTGAGGCTCTGTTTAGGAATCTATCCTATATCTGGGAGTAAAAGGATGGTAGAGTCAGATTTGAAGTTGGCTCTACTTTCTTTGGTTATCAAGTCTTCATCTTCTATAACTTAATACATCTCTGAGAATTCTTATAAGCAAGTCATGGCTTCAGATTGGCTGAGTGGCACATGGAAAGATATGGATGAAATCTGAGGCATGGAGACAGTAGGTAAGCTCCTAGTTTTAAGTTTTAGGCTTTTTTTTCTAATCACCAATTTTTTTATGCACATAAAAACTCTTGAACATATGATTACCCTCATCTTAACTCAGTATAACACGATCAGAGGGAATGACTGAGTGTAGAGCAGTCTTTTTTTTTCTGCAAAGTACATGCAAGATAAAAGCAGAGAGAAATAAAAGCTGATGATTTTAAGGAAGTAGAAATGTAAGCTTGTAGATAACTTCTGTATGAATTACAGTTGCATATTCAAGCAAAATAGTCATCCAGATTTTAATTTGCTGAGGTTAAGCAGTCAAGAGCAATTGGACCTAAGCCTTGTTTAATGATATGTAGACCAAGTCATGTGATTAGTCTAGAGGACAAGAGAAAGGCTGTGAAGAAACCATTTTCAACCAGTGCATTTGTAAGTGTAGCTGAAGATGTCTGCCTCTTAAGTTAACTGTGAAGTAAAGAAATGAGATTTTCTTAGGACATAAATTGGCATATCCCTGGAATACTTGTTTATAAATCAGGAATTAAAGTCTTCCTACAGAAACCAATTGTTTTAATGCCCAAGAGTATCTCATAGCAAGAAACGAAGCCAACCACACTTAATCAATGTAAATGACAATACTGAGACAGGTGTGATTCCACTCAAACATCCACAAAGACAGAAGCTCTTCAGTCTACTGGTAATATCCTTAGCTGCCATTTTTACATTTCTTTTTAAGTTAGTCTACATTTCCAGAAAAATGATAGGTAATACACCATTTGAAGTCACCATCAAGTAAGTTACTGTGTATTGGTCAAAGAGCCTAGGTCCAACTATCCCTACCACATGATGGTACCAAGCATCAAGTCATCGTAAAAGAACACCTTTTACTGGCTAGAGGAAATTTTTCCAAATGACTGTATTTATCACACACGAGAAAGGATGATCAAAAATTGTATCTTGAAGATCAACTGTTACATGTAAAGATGCGTAGTCAGTAATTACAGGAAGTCAGCAGATAAGCCAGTGAAGAAATTGTTTTGGGATTTTATTTTTAAAGGTTATTAATGATCCTCAAACCAGTAAAATGAAAAACAAAACAAAAAACAAAACAAAAAAACAAAACAAGGAGTGTAACCTAGTGTAACTAGGCTGAGTCACATAGTGATTTGTAGTTTAAGATGAAGAATGATGACCTGGTACTTTTCCCCTCAGAAAATGTTGCAAGTATCTGAATTGTTTCCATAGTTAATGACTGTTTCTTGACTTGAAGCAGAGTACCATGGCTAATGATGAGAAGTCTACTGTAGAAGTTGGTCTAAGATGGCCTCAATGAGGCATCAGTTTCCAGCTTGCAGGCAATTCCCATATCCAAGAGTTCAAGACTTCAGTCATGTACTTCAAGTACCACTAGTGTATTCTGTTTCAGTGAATGCTGCTTAGTAGTTTGTCAGTATAGGGCACATATGAATTGCTGACTATATCCAATTCCAGAAATCACTGTTAAAGTTCATCTTGATTACAGGGCTAGTAATGAAGGTTCACTTGCCACATTTTCAGTCCATATGAACATTTTGGGGGCTAAAGCCATGCCCATTATGTACTTTTCTAAGTCTGCACACAGTAAATATTCCTAAGAATGTTCAGCTCAACTGAATGTAGACTATATTGAGTGGAGACACATAAAAGGTCAGAAAGCCATTTGGGTCAAACATGTTGTATAGGGCAGTGGTTTTCAAACTGTTTTGCAGTTGTACATGTTGTAAAGAAGTCCCTTTAGGTATCAGCCTCGGTGGTAAAGGAAGATGCTTGTTGCAGGCTGCAGACCCCTACTCTTGCTTCACTTCATCCAGACCCCCACCTCTTGCTTCATGTCATCCAGAGCAGCTTCACTTTTACTCTGGGCTTCCGCACAGTTTTCATTCAAATGGCTTCATGGCCACAAAGCCTTTGGAAAACAAATGATCTAAGAATAAGTTGTTCACAAAATGCTGAAATAGAAAAAATAGGTCACAGAAACTAGAAACTGGGTGAACAAAGCCTGTAGTAAGATAAGGTGATTCCCTATTCATTCCTTCCCTAAGGTGGACAGTATTATAAGGAAATAGAGCTAAAACTCAAGTCTAGTATAAATTTCAATTGCCTTAAGTTGAGTTTATAAATGACTGTCAGAGGACAAGACTATCTCAACAGACCACAACTCAAATTCTAAAGAAAGCATTTTGTCTTCTTCCTTACCCTTTCTACTTCCCTTCCCAATCTCTTTACCCCATAAGTTGTAATGTCTTAAAAAAAACAAAACACTTTACAGCACAATTCTAAGACATATGCTGCTAAATATTATGGAACTCGCCCTTTGGGAAGGAGGCAGAATTGATATTCCTCCAATATCCTCCCATATAGTTCCATTTTTATTCTAGAAACTCCTGATTTAAAAAATTAAGCTAGTGGTCAAGATAGACTCAGATGACAGGGACAAGTAAGTTCAAACAGTTAATGACAAGGTATGAAAATGGCAGGTTTCAACGACACTATATTATGGGGTCCCCAGGCCAATCTATTGATAATCAGGTTACACTATACCATTTTATAGTAGTTTCCTATAAAAGGAATGCTACCCAAAATTACATTATCTTTATAAATTAGAACACAGTGGACTAACATAAAGAGATCTTTGCTGCAAGTCTTTTGGAAACCTTTAACACAACACAATGCTAGAAAGGATACATCTTAAATATTTTACCACCTTACTGGATGATGGAAACTCTCCACATGACAAGTATACATTAAAAAAATGGCTCATTTTGTGTAAATAAGTTGGAGGGCCAAGGATTACAGGTAACTTTTGCTATTCATGAGTTTTTTTTTTTTTTTTAAGACATGTACTGGGGTGTCTTGGGAAAATCATGAAAATAGACAAAAGATCTAAAAGCAGCTTGTGTTTCACATTAGGTAGCCTTATTATCTGATTAACACCTGCCATTTTGATTCGACAGTTTATCACTGTAAAGACCCTTTGCTCCCATACCTTACAGATGTTGCCATGGATTATACTTACAACATCCTGCCTGATGCGGACACCAGGCACGGAAATTGGGAATCTTCTGAGTTTACAACTTTAACACTGTGTGTAAAAGCTAAGTTAATGCCTAGGATAACACTGGACCAGGAGTCAAAAGGCCTGGCCTCTACCACTTTGTAGCTGTTTTACCTTGGATGATTAATTAAACTTCAGTTCCCTCATTTAAAAAGGAATGTACTGTATTGTGATAATTAAGACAAACAAAAGTGCTTTCAAACTGTAAAGTGCTATATAAACAGAGGGAATTACCATATAGGTTTTATCTCGATGTATAAAGAGGCCTTTTCTGGAATCTGACTGGAGCCTTGTGAGATCCTGTTAGATAAAGGGATTCCTTGGCAGAACTGCTTACATTTATGTGAAAAGTTCTGGTTCCTGAGTAATCCCAAAGAAGATGCTATGAAGAATTCACTGTGCCTTGGTTTTGATCCCAACAGGTCTCATTCAGTAGGCTACTACAGATTTTAAGTAGAAAAAGAACATGGTCCAGGGACCTTCATGGGGTTTAGGCAGTTCATAAACTTTAATCATTTGAGATTATGGGCTATGGTCCAATGCTATTCTTGGAAAGATGTCTGTTGTCTTTCTTTGGACAGCGTTGATAATTAAAAATCCCCTGGTCCAAGTTTATTACATGTCTCTGAAGATTTTAACTGAAGAAATGCACACTCATGGAATAAACTAGGCCTTCGTTGTGATAAAATAGCTTTAGGTATTTGGCTTGCAGACTCTGCACTACCAAGGGCTGTGCTGAATCTGGGCAGACCACAACTGGAGTACAGGTCAAGGTCACACTGTCATGGCTGAAAGTCTCTTGATCACAGTGGTCCACTGGAATGATGTCTTCTTCAGTAGTAGGTTGATACAAATCACCATGGGCAAAAATCCAAGTACCAGACGTGTAGGATGATGGGCCAGCAGAAGGTGGTCAGAAGGTCCAGGTGAACACTCAGCAATCAGGAAGCACAGGACTAGAAGGGGGAGGGACAAAACAGGTAAGATAACAAATGCATGGAATTACAAACAGGATTCTAATACTGGGGTTGGCCTGCCATAAGCATATCAACTGTCTCATGTGTACTAATTCTTGATAAGCCTGGATTAGAGGCTAACAGATGATCAATGGGGAGGAAAACAAACCACAAAAGCCTAGTAGTTGATAATAAGAACAAAACTGTCTAACGGATGCACAAAGTAGGAACTGCCCTAAGGTTCAAATTTTGTAGTAGTAATTTGATCATATTTAGGTAGCTGGGCATTAGCTGGTAGGGAGAAGTGGTCTACAGTTGGCACAAAAAGTGAGGTTTTAAGTTCATATACCAACTAGAAAGTAAGAGATAGTGCCCTTCTTTTTCCATTCTTCAAGCTATCTTATAAGCTTCTTTGGTTAAAGCTTTTTAAACTCAATATGAAATGTTTTGCTCAGTATTTCATGTGTAGTATGTACTTACACATACTTGTACTTTCACTTTACAAGCATCTATGTTAAGACAAAAATAAGCTTTCCATCAGTAAGTATGCAATAGTCTGTTCAACGGATCATTTCTTTGTGTAAGGGCTCCTTAGATCTTTAGTTTTAAAAAGTTCAACATGAAATAAACAAACACAGCCCAACACCAGTGACTTTCCTTATTATCAGAGGAATTTTTAAAGTGACTAAGCATATACTAAGTGCTGGGAGACACTAAGTGATGACTGACACAACCTACTCTAAACTCCTTTCTAAAAAATGCTTCAATGGGGTGGTGACATATGCACACAAAACAAGACCTTTGTTTTCAGTTTGCTATTTAGCAAGAGAACAGATGCATGCAAATAGCTATTTTACAAGATGTTGCCAAGGAAAAATACTTGTAACATGTTAATATACTTAAAGAAGATATTCGGGGGCTGGGACCATAGCTCAGTGAAAGAGTTACAAGGCCCTGGAAAAATCAAACCAAACCAAACTACATTCCACCTAAAGTTATGAGATTTATGGGAAGGAAAACATCTGAGTTGGGATAATGAGGAAGTGGCAGAGGTGTGATAGATGAAAAACCAGAGAAGAGCATTTCCAGGGTAGCAAAGAGAGTATGAGAAGCGCAGAAATGTTGGTAAGGCATTTTGGAAAATGGCAAGTACCATAATTGACTTTCGATGGAGTTTTCTCAATTTACATTGAGGTTCTGGGTAGAAACTCAGGTCTTCCAATTCCCAGTAACAGCGCTGGTATTAATGCTTGCTCAGTTGTCTCTTTTCTCACAGCAAGATCAACAGTTCCAAAATGTAATTTAAAAACAACAACAAAAAATCAACCTCCAGAGTTCTTGCCACATCCTGACAAACTCTTCTAGATGGCAGGTCCAGTTCTTAGAAACCTGGAGTCCATGGCTGTGGCTACGCTGAAAGGTAGGTACCTGCTTCAAAGATTGCAGAACATTGCAGCAAAACCTTCTTAACTGCCAATCCTGGACATCTCATGTTTTGTCACAGAATTTCAAGCTTTGAGTTCCAGTTGCTTTTTTCCTTTCTCTGGAGAAAAGCCTCTTATCACCACAGTCTTAAGAGTCTTGAGGTACATCCAGATTTAATTACAAAAGAGCTAAAGAACACATCTTTCTTCAAAACAGTCATTTCTCTGGAAGTGAAATCATTTGTCTCTGCCCTTTAGGTAAAGGGAACAGTCAATTTTTTCCACCAGACATTTGAATGAAATAGCAGAACTGGTTAACATCTACTCAAACTACACTTAACTGTGTTTGTATCCACGTGCTTAGAGCTGTACCACTTGGTAAGCACCACTCCACAAAATGAAAATGTTTGAAATTCAATTATTCAAACATTTTTATAGTGTTTGCTGGACAATGGTCTGAAATTTGATAAAAGCAGCTGACAACAAAGAAACAAAAAATGGCATTTTGGCCTTCTCAGTATCACAGTTGCAAGCAATTAGAATGCAATGCAGGCCAAGAAGTTAGGGTTGTAATCATTTCCAAACCTACTGATTTTAAGGTTCAGCAGGTGCTTTAACAAAATTTTTGGCAGAATGTTAACTTTGAATTAATAAAGAAAAAATTTTTAACATCTTTAGGAATGCCATGCGTGGTTCAGTCTGTTCCAGTCAGCCCACTTGTTAAAAATTCGCAGGCACCATTTATTAGCTAGGCTTGGCACCATCATTTAAAAATAAGCCTGGTCACCACCAACCACACAAATTAGGGAATACAAAATAGAATCAAGTAAAGGATGGCAACTATATTCATGGAAAATGATATAGGTCAAAAAAGGTAGTCAGGCACCAGTATAAGCAGCAGAAAACCAAGAAGCGCTGGGCCAAACAATGAATTCACTTCTTAGCATTGCCAACTACATCACCTCCTAATTGCAGCTGCTTTATATTGGGTGCCATTGTACCATCAGCATCAGCCACCCTTCAGGCACCCCGCGGTAAAAGGAAAGGGTTTAGAAGAGAGGCCAAGCTGGGGAGTATTGTTACCCCAAATATCCATTATGCATAGGAAACAGCTCACATATCCCAGGGACTCAAAAGCCGGCTTCAAATTGATTGTGAAGGGTCCCAAATGACATCTAGGCCTCAGTTTCCTCTCTGGTATAAAAAAACTGTCATTAACTTTTCTGGATCACAGTCCGCTTTGAAAACTTGCTACCCATGGATCATCAGTCGCTTCACATGTATATCCCCACAAATTTCTACGTACAATTCAGGCAACGTTTCCAGGTTCCAAATCGAGGGATCTGGCAACTGGCAAGTTTTCTAGCAACTCAAGAAACATTACAAACGATACTCATCCTTTATGAATACAGCACTTTGTAGTTTACAAAGTGATTTCAATCCCAAACACAGGCAGAGGAGGAAACTGAGGCGCAGACAAATTAGAGTGACTTGCCTAAGGTCAGTCGGTCAGCTGCTGGCTAGGCCCGGAAACAAACGCAGCTCTTCCGACTCCGGGAGCTCATATCCCCACCCCGGAGCTGCTGCCAGAGCTCCTGGCCCTTTCTAAGGCGGCATAAGGAGAAAAAGGCAAAGCAGAAAGCCCACCACCAACCATCCTCCAGCCCCTTCCTGTCCCAACTGGGTCCTTGCAGGCCCAGAAGGGTGGCGCCAGGCCTCCAGGCCAGCCCCGGCCCCAGCCACCCCCGCCTCCCCGGCCGCACCAAATCCCGCCGCTGCCGCCGCCTCTCCGGGAGCGGGGCGGAGCAGCTGCCCGCCACCGCCGACCACCCGGACGACTCCTCGTCGAATCGCAAACGCATAGGCCGCCGCCCGAGTTCTGCGTACGAGAAGAAAGACGCGGCGCGAGCGCCAACGGCCACCGGGCGCGCGCCGCGGCGGCCGGGCCTGCGCCCCAAGAGCTGGATGCCAGAGCAGGAGAAAGAGCCGCCAACCGATCGCTCGATCGACCGCGCGCCCGCTCCTTCGCCCTACCAGACCGGGGAGGGGGGGAGGGCGCGCCAGGGCTTCTTCGAGTTAGGGGCCTGACTCCCCGGCGACGAGACAAGATGGCTCCCCCAGTCCGCGCTGCAGCTACCGTCCCGGCTGCGTCGCTCGGCCCGCCCCCGGTACTGTTTCTTTAAATGGCGGAGAGGGTCAGGAAGGCCGGAAGAGAGGTGCGCGCTCTCACGTGATAAGGGTGGGACCGGCCAACTAAGATCCGGTCACATGGGTACAAACTGCCTGCCAGTCGGAGGGCGGGGTTTCAGGGCGGGGGCGGGAGAACCAATGGCTTTGTGATTGGCTGAACGAGCTTTGGAGGCCTCGGGGGCTTGGGGCGTCGGATAGTGCGCGAGGTGGCCAGGGCGGTGTGCACCGGCGGAGACAAAGCGGAGGCGGTGGTTTGGTGGCGGCGGCAGCAGAAAAACCTTAAACACCGAATTTCGTATCGCAGAGTCCTATCATTCTACTCAGCGCGGCGCGCAGGCGGCGGCGGCGGAAGAGGCGGCGGCTGCGGAGGCGGCGGCGGCGGCGGCAGTGGCAGTGGCAACGGCAACGGCAGCACATGGTTCCAAGAGCGCGCTGCGGTTGTTGGGTTCCAGTTCCGCAGGGAGGGACAAAGGCAACTGGGAGCTCTTGGCTACGCCCGTCTGGGTGGTTTATTTGTCTCTGCCCGGTATTTGGGGGCTGTGAAACCTGGGACTACTTTCTCTGCTAGAGAAGAAGCCACGCCACCGAGGAAAGGCCTAGGGCTGAGGTGGCTGAGGGGATTGGGGGAGGGGCGCGGCCGGATGAGGTGATTTGTTCCAGTCAATTGTGAGACGTGGTAGACCCTTGTGAGATAATTTGAGTCACCACTCTATGGAGATTGGGGCAGGACAGCAAGCCGAATCTTTTCAGGTTTCAAGGGAGGAAAAAAAGCACCTCTTCTGGTTGATACCAGGTGAACAAGAACTAGCGCCATATGCTTTTCAAAGATCCGGTCTAGGGCCTGTTTCAGGATCCTGTCGTCATTGGGGGCGAAGACGTGAGTCCATATTCAGTTTTATGATAGACGTGGATAAATTTCCGGATTGGTAAGTTTTGTGGTGAGAAAGTTAAAGGCAACAAAAGAGCTCGAAGAACTGTTAAGATGAAGAAATAACCGTCAGTGAGCTCAATCACCGACTCTAAGACCATTCGCTTCCGACTCGACCTGTCGAAACTTAACGCTGAAAGTTCTTTCCAAAATACCATGATACAGAAGATTTAAAACTACTTAAGAAATCAGTTGAAGTTTTGAATATTGCCGAATATATTTTAGATAATAGCTAATTTGCTTCAGTAGTCCTTAAGGAACAGAAACAACCTTTACTGGACAGATTCCTGAATAAGGCTGTTCCACTGAGTGAAAGATTCAAGTTGCCATTGCAGTCATGGCCTTCACGTATTACAGTAGTCTGAATCGAGCTCAGCTAACTTTTGAATATCTGCACACAAATTCGTAAGTATCTTACAGGTGCTAATGAGATCATCAGTAACTCAACTTTTGCTATTAATATGGCAGTCCTTTTCCCAGAAAATTTTACTTTTTCACTCTTTGGGATATCACTGGATGTCTTGAGGTCTGTATGAAGAAGCGAGATCATTGAATTATCTGTTGCTAACCCAGAAGATTCTTAGTTACTGGATCGATATTTTTCTAGATGCAACTTCAGTTACTGAGAGCATATTATTTCACATACTAGGAATACAGGAAGTTCTCTTCGAATGGGCAAAAGTTGGATTTAGCGTTAACTGTTTTCCTCTTTAGTGAAAACAGTCTAGACAGTTGAGTTTGTAAGATGTTTTTAACAAGAAAATAAAGAAGAAAACAACATTTAAACGACAGCTTATGAGAAGAAAAAATACTTTTCAGGACATAGTTGGCTTTATCTTTCTTGGAAATTGGTACCTGTCCCCAGTGTAGTTTGTGCAGGAAGTGACAAATTGATAAATTTTTCCCTGAAATGTGTGCATTTCCAGAAGTACAATGCTACTATAATTCCAATTTCATCTGGAATATTTTAGGGTTAATGCTTACACCCACTCTGACATTATCCAGTGGGGCCAAAACTACCTCAGTGCTTTCATACAGTCAGCTGTTACTTCTGAGATACTGGTAAGTATTGTACTATTTTAGTACTCAGAGAATAGGTAACGAATAGCTCCAGTGATCCAGAGTTGGCTGAAGAACCGACTACCTTCAGAATTGCGAGTATAGGCTTCAGTCATCTAATATTACAGCGACTTTTAACCTTTTGTGGAAAAGACAGGTGTTACAGTTTTACGTGGGGGTAGTTTTTTCCAATCAAAATAATTCAAATTCTGAGCGGATTTTTTAAGAAAGCTTTTTATTGAACCAAATTATTTTAAAAAGGGTACCACGCTGAATGTAAGTTGACTAGGTGAATTCTCACACGGATAATTTATGTGGAACATAGATGTTCCTAATCACTGGAGGTACCACAGCCTTGGGCAAAATCTTCAGTGTCTTTTTTTTTTTTTTAAGAAAGTTTATTGGTCATGTTAACTAGCAGGTGAAGGCCACTTAGATGTTCATGGACATTGTGTTTGATAAATGGCCGAGTTTTAAATTACAGAATGACACGACAAATTTGAAATTGCACATTTTATGATAATCTTGGAAGACCACAATCTAGACTTTAGAATCTGATTTCTTGTTTTCACGTCATCAAGGATTAACATTAATATAGTAACAACTACTGCTTCGTGCCAGTAGTTGTTTTAGACATTGTCTCTTGAAAGCAAACCTATGAGTTAAGAATCATTCTTACTTTGCATTTGGGGAAACCAAGGCTTGAAGCGATTGCTAGTGATTACACAATCGATGAATGGTAGATTTAAAGGAGCCAGTATTTAAGAAAAAAAATCATTTTTATCACAGTGCTTAGTGCTTTAAATGTATGGCAATGCTGACTCTAGTCAATTTTACCTTCAAGGGCCTATTTTATCTATAAAGCAAGGGGTTTTCTTTGTATCTAAGGAATTTTCAATTTTAGTTTATCTCAGCAAATCTCTACCTTGAGGATTATAGGATTGTTCTCATTCCACTCTTCTAGTTTGTGGCTTATTGATAGTGAATGATTTCTGTCTTTCCTCTTCTATTTTGTAGTTTTAACAGTAGGGCAACAGTGCCAAAGCAAAGAAGCAAACCTCAGTTAAATCATTTGTTTAAGGTGATGGAGAGTTTTCTGTGAATCTCACTTTTCCTTGTTGAATTAGAACCAGCTTTCGCTTGAGTTTATGAGGGTGAATCATTTTGGAACCAACTCCTACCTACTGCGCTCTCTCTGTCCTTTTTTTTTTGAGTGGTGGTTTTTTTTTTTTTTTTTTTTAAATGGTGGCTCACTATATAATTCGGGCTGGCCTTGAGTTTACTATGCAGTACAGGCTGGCCTTGAACTAATAATGCCAGGGCTGCTTTGTCCTCCTGTGTGCTGGGGTTACTGTCATACACTACTATACTGGCCGTTGGAAGCTCTGTAATTTCTTAATCTGAATACCAGCTTTGATCTTTGAAGTTCTGCTTTCGGATTTGTCTAGTCCTACCAGAAGAAAGTATGAATGCTAGAATACCAAGATAAGTTTGTTTGTAACTATTTTAAACGTCATAGGAAGTTCATTTAGAGGAAATTTTTAGAATTCTCACATGATAATGACTTGTTACTCATAGAAGATTAATCTCTAGGTGGTTCATTATGTCACCTTCAGAGAAGAGAAGATTGGTCTTGTACTTTATTTTGTTAAACATAAAACAATTCAAGGACATCTACAATATTAGCATATTGTGAATTATGAAAGAGATGGCACTCTGCTTATTGCCCATTAAATGTAGACTTGCAAACAACCCAGGCTAGAAAGGTGGAAACCTTTGTCACTTTGTGGAAAGATTGGGCCCAAAGGCCACTCCAGCATACATTTGACAGCTTCAACCTCTTGAACCTTTAGTTTCTTCATTTATAAAATATTGCTAATCTGATAAGACAGTGTTTATGAAGATTATATGAAATAGCAAAATTCTCAGTTTGTACTTTGTATACAAGAAAATCTAGTAGATGTTGGTTAATCTTTTTATATAAACAAAAAGTGATATCTTGCTTTTTGATGTTAGTAGACAAATACCTGGTAAGTTTTGGAGCACTGTTGGAGACAGTAAATGTTTTGATTTTTTTTGTCTCCTATATTACGATATGTGGTTGTCATGATAGTTATTTTTTGGTAACATCAGCATTAAGGTTAACAGGCCTAGGAACATCTTACGTTTTAATATTGGAAGTTGTTTTTACAAGATGATACAAATTGGAGTTTTCACATAAAAGGAATTTTATTCTGTTACTCGTATTAGATGGTTGATTTTGTGACTGATGTTCTTTTGACATAGTCATGTCTTTTGTTTTCTGTACTGAGTTATTTGGTAGAGCAGGGAACTTAAGTAAAAGACAGTTTTTTGTATTTATTACTGTTGATACTTTAAATAATTCATAATCTTGTCTATATGATAGCATGGTATGTTTATCTGTATGTGAGGTGAATGAAGAAGAACCAGTCAGCTCGAGACTTAGAATGTATAAACATGTTGAAATGTAAGTTCACATGCTTAATATATTAAAAGCTATTACAATTCAAAATGGCTGCTCAAGGGTTTCCCAACTTTAGTAGTTAACTGTTGTCAGTGTGTACATGAACTAGGCAAAACTATCACTGTTTGGTGAGTTTGTGTGTAATTCTTTGGTTTAAATTCAGACTGAGAATGAATATGGAGACCATTTGCCTTACATAACAAGCTCATTTACCCATGGATTTGTCACTGGAAATGCTAAGATGAAAACTGTACTGTGGCACAAAAGAAAAGCTATGATCAGTTGAAAACCAAGGAATTTGTTAAAAGTATCTTGTCTTTTTCTAGCTGATTGATCTTTCTTGGATATTTAGGTCTGCAAAGAAAATAATTTCTTTTGATATTTATTCATTATATCTCAAATGCTAAATAGTGATGAGTGTACTTCTTGAAATACTGTTTGAGAAAAAGGAATTTATGCAGTTGCTATGTTTCAGGTTATGATTTTAAATATTTAGAACTGACTTTGGCATCTGGAAGATCCATCATTAATCTGCTGAACATCTAATAAGATTCTGAATGTTGCTCCTTTTATGATATGAACAATCATCATAAAAACATTTCCTCATCCTTTTGAAATTGGCTTACTGAATTCTAAATGTCTCATTTTCAAGCTAGGTGTATGACATACACCTATAATTGCAGCCAGAAGGCCAAGGCAATAGGATCAAAAATTTAGGCCGAGCCTGGGCAATTTGGCAAGATATTGTCCTAAAACAACAAAAAATGACCAATAAAAGGTCTGAGGATGTACCTGGTACAAAGGCCTTGAGATCAATACCCAGTATCCCCCCTACCTAATCTCATTTTTATGTAAAGCAATTACAATTGTAGATTACTGAGATGCAATTATTTCTATTCTTGGTTTCCTTGTTCTAATGGCAGAGTGTCAGAATTACTTTATCTGATAATTCCTACTCTTGATGCTTACTACCAAAGGCCAGAAACTGAATTCTTTTTTTGGGGGGGGGGGGCGGGGGGTAACTGGGAATCCAATCCAGACATCGCACTTGCTAGGGCAGCACTTACACCACTGAACTAAATCCCCAGTCCCCAAACGGCATTCTTTAATTCCAAATTTAGTGCATTTGATATAAGTTGTACTCTTACTCTTTTGTTGTTTTTTTGTTTTGTTCTGTTTTTATTTTTATTTTTTTGAACCAAGTTCTCACTATGTAGTTCAGATTGGCCTTGAACTCAATTGTGAAGCCTGGCCTTGAATTCAACTGTGATCCTCCTCCCTCTGCTAGGATTATAGGCATGTGCTGCCATGTCCAGCAAGTGATTGTCTTCATTCTTAATGTGCTTGTGCTCTTTGTTTTTTATGGGGGGTATATTTTTGAGATTACTTCACTTTATGCTAAAATGTAGGTAGATTGATGTTGAAATGAGAAGTTTTGCAATAGAATCAATTATTTTATATAGCAATCCTCAAAATAACTTAGAATATAGAAAACCAATTCACTTTCTAAATCACTTGTAATTGAGCTAGAAAAATGACTTTGGAAGCTTGAAAACAAATGTTAAGGTTCATTTTAATTAGTTTTTTTAGCAGGTCACCTTATTTTTTCAGTGTAGTTGTCCCTATTTGTTTCTTTGTTTTTGTAGTATTAGGAAACTAGTACATAGGATCTTGAACATACTAAACAAGCACCCTTAACCATTGAGCCACATTTCCTCAAATTTTTTTTTTATTTTACTTCTTTAATGTTGAGACAAAATCTCACTAAACTGCTCTGGCTAATCTCTTGGGGATCCTCCAACCTCAGTCTCCTGAGGAGTCAGGATTATAAATATGTTCCACTGGTACCTGATCTTCATATTTCCTTAGTGGAGTATAAGAATACTTGTTTAATTCATACTTTGAAAATTTTAAAGTGATGATTAGGTATGTAAATACATTTTAATAATTAAAGATGACTTTTAGGCAGATTTTTTTTTTTTTAGAAAATTGGTTCTTACAGGTAAAATTAAGAATTGGACTTCAGCCAAAATTTGAGCTCTGTATTCTAGGTGAATTGGTGATACAATTTCTATCTCATTACAATATACTTACTGGTAATGCCTTTGAATTAGCAACAGATACATTCATTGATCTCTTGGAGGAAAAGTTCTTCCTAAAATTCCAAGAGTTTGTAGTTTCACTTAATTAGTAAATTTGCATGTAAAGAGTTACGTGAAAAAATGTGTTACTGGGCAGTTACAACAATTTGATAAACATCTTTAGGGTTTAAGTGGTCTGATATTATATGTTATTCAATATTGATATCTTATTCTAAATTTTTCAAAATTTTCACTGACTATTGGCTGAAACTATGGAATAATTGGGTATTTTATGAAAAATTAATGATGGTAAGGTATAGGTTAATAATTTTGTATTTTCTCTAAAAGTCAGCCTGGTTTTCTAGATGGTTCTGTGTGGACTTGCCCGACTTTTGTATGATTATAAGACTAAAGGATGTAAATTGAGCATGCTCAGTGGATATTTGTTTGCATTTTTCTTTATGAGTACCTGTGTATTATCCATCTCTGTGTGTGTAAACTTACGGTTTTATATAGCTTAATAAGGAAAATACTCGTTTTTGAAGAAAGAATAATGATAATTTTGGCTTTTTGAAATTGTAGCTAAAAACAGAACCTTATACGTATTAAACAAAGGAATCTAAGACCTTTTTTTTGTTTTAGAGGGATAAGAGCCTAGTGTGCTTTCCTAGGAACCCTAGTAAAGTTAACCCTTTCAAGGAGAGGAGTCAGTAGTTATCTTCACTGGGAGGTTGCCAAAAATTTGGTTTACACAGCTATAGTACCACATTATTCAGAACTCAATAAAGATAACATAAACTGAATATGGTATGTGTGTATGCCTGTAATCCCAGCACTCAGGAAGCTGAGGCAGGAAGAATGTGGTTTAGGGTCATTGTGGGCTATAGTGAGCTTGAGATCAGCCAAAGCTGTATTGTGAGACCACCTCTGAGAAGAAAAAAAGATGATGTGAGATGCGCAGAAACTGACAGCTAGTTAAGACTGGAAAATAAAGATATTTTTTGAGTATCATAGTATCGCTGCTTTTAGGAGGTAAGTACATGTGAGAATCTTAATACTTTAGAGCAGGTTTCTCAATTCATAATAGGAGTAAATATTTCTGAGTGCAAGACAGGACTTCATTAACATTTAAGATGAGTTTGTTCTGGAAAGCTAAGTTTTGAAATTTAAATTTCAAAAATGTGAATTTAAATGGAGATTTTAGATTTTTTTAAGTGAGAAAGTTTACAACCTTGTTCTAGGAAAAAGCACAGTTCAGTTCATCTGGTAACTTCGTGTTTATCATTTCAGAACCACTCATGAATTTTTATTTGGAGCTCTTGCTGAACTGGTTGATAATGCAAGGTACGTAGTCTTCTGGTATATAATCTGCTTGGCCTAATAAACTTTTTGGGTCCTTGTGACTTTTGTTCTCTGATGGCTTGAAATATTTGTGTAGTAGCTATAACTCCTAAGAGGCTCATTATCACAAAATATTTTTAGTATTTTAAATACTTTTTCAAATCCATTGTATTTCAAGGATAAAAAGAAAAATAAAACAAAATTTCAAAAGACGTCAATTGCCAGCAACAGTGGTACTTACATTGCACCTTGTCATCTGCAAATCATTCACCCAGAGCACAAGACATCTGTATTCAATTGGCTCATCTTGTATGTCTCCCACCTCAGTACTAGAATTGACCATTTCTCCAAGGAGCTCTGATTCGTTTTGTTAGAGAATGGTATTAGAAATTAAGGTCTCAAGAGTAGCCTGCCTGTCAGTATATGACTCAATGCATGTAAATACTTAATGTAGTGTTTTGAGAGAATGGTATTAGAAATTAAGGTCTCAAGAGTAGCCTGCCTGTCAGTATATGACTCAATGCATGTAAATACTTAATGTAGTGTTTTGTCACTTGCTTTGTACATCCCACGTCTAAATGCTGTATAAATTAAACTCTATAAATGTTGCATTTGTGGAATTATCCTACAACACTCCACTTTCAACAGTCCACTGGCATCAAGATTAAACACTAACTTCTTAAAAAAAAAAATCAAGATCACTGGATATGATGGTATACAAGGGTAGTTCCAGCTTGTGTGTAGGCTGAAGTAGGAGGATCACATTTTGAGGCTCGTCTGGTCATTTAGACTGTGTATCAGGACAAAAATTTAAGAAGGCCTAGAAATGTATCTCAGTGATATAATACTTTTTTTCCAAATCCATTTTATTTCAAAGATAAAAATTTCATAACATATCAATTAGGGTAACAATGCCATACACATTGCACCTTGTCATCCCCAAATCATTCACCCAGAGCACAAGGTATCTGCATTCAGTTGTCCAAACAATACCAGCAGAAATCTTTATCTTCAGCAAGCTCACAGAAATCAGTAGTATATTAAATGGTTTTAACATAGATATATATATACATATACATACACATATGTTTCAGCATCTCACACTAGTGAGAGAATATAATGTTTACAAAGCATATCTTAATTATTTCATTTTTGAGTATGGTCTCTAATTTTATCCATTTACCTATAAAAGTCTCCAGTTTGTCATTCTTTATGGCTGAGTAGTACTCCATTTTATAAAAATACTACATCTTTTTTATCCATTCCTTGGTCAGTTGGCATTTAGGTTGTTTCTAAAATCTGGCTATTATAAACTGTGCTGCTATAAACATATATCACTGTGGTATGTTTTTAATTCATATGGGAAGACCCAGTAGAGGAATAGCTGGGTCAAATGGGACCGCTAATCCTAGTTTTTTGAGGAATCTCCACATTTTCCACAGTGGTTGCACCAGTCGGCATTCCCACCAACAGTGAAGGGTTCTCTCCAGCATTTGATACTGTTTGATTTCTTAATTTTAAAGTACTTTGTTGATTAACTTAAAATTTATTTATTGTGGGGCTGGGGATTTAGCTCAGTGGCATAAGCGCCTGCCTTGCAAGCAGGCAGTCATGAGTTCGATCCCTGGTACCGATTTAAAAAAAAAAATTATTTATTGTTCTTTATGTATTGGCCTAAAAATAGTGACGTCTCAAACCACTTTCCCTTGTATATTAGAGCAAAGTAATTATAAAAAGCAGGAAATTGAGATAGAAACTTAGGATCAACTTAATGGGTTAGATGATCTGTGATTTTTTTTTTCCCCTGGATAATTTACCTTGAAGGTGTTTAAAAGTTTGCCAAAATTTTCTGTCTTTTCCAGAATGTTTTATTGGGGCTCCTACTGGTCAAGTCTTCTGTTACCAGCATCTGTGCTTAGGAGAAGTCACCCATTTTTTTATACTGAATTAAATATAAGTTTGGGTTCATTTATAGACAAACATTCTAGTCCAAATAAAAATCCTGTTTATAATTACTGTTTGAAAATACTGTCCCAGCCTTATTCTTGAATGCAAACATAAACTTAAGATTATTTTTGATCATTTTTGAAGGTTTTTAATGAAGAAGGCAAGAATTTATAGTAGTACTTCTTCTTTTTTTTTTTTTAATCGGTATTGGGGATCGAACTCACAACCATGCTCGTGCAAGGCCGCTGAGCTAAATCCCCATCCCCCATAGTAGTACTTCTAAACTGATCCTCACTTAGTGAGCTTCCTTCTGTTTTCTAGTGTTTTTAGAATTCACCTATACCAGTGATGGTAAATCTTTTAGAGCTTTTAATGATGCAAATAGCCTGCTGTGGCATGTGTGCCATCAGTTTGCCGCTAGTGACTTCCTGTATTATTTCTTTTTTGCTATTAAAATGTTTATGGAAATGTGCTAGGTAGTACATTATTCAACTAGAAAACTCCCGTTTTAGTATTATTTGACTCATTTTTCTGTTCAATTAAAAATGTAACAATAGAATTATTTGTATTTGCTACTTATTAACTTAAAGTATTGTGTTTTGACAGGTAGCTTTTTGAGTATCAGTGAACTAGAGATTTCTGGGAGTATGTTTTCCTATTCCTGCATATATTTTGCCAGTCTTTCTCATATTTTAAAATTTTTTTATGTTGTTGAGAATAGGTACATTGTAAAGCTGGGTGGATTTGGGAGTTTTAAAAGTTTTTAAAAATCGCTTTTTATTGAATCAAGGGCCTAATGCATGCTAAAAATTCACTCTACAACTGAGCTATATTTCAAGTGGACTTTTTGCACTTAAAACCTATGAAACTTCCACAATTTCTTTGCCTGCAGTCAGTAGAATTAGAATAAATTACTTGCAGTTATTCATGAAAGCCATCATTGATGACTGAATTCAGTGGCTGGAGTACAGTTGAATGCTTTCACTTTCTTTCAAGGTTATAGAGGTTAATAATCTGGGCTCAGGAATCAATTTGCCAATTGCTGTGTATATTGTAAGAGATCCCATTTTTTTTCATAGGTTGTAGCAGCTAATAGTTTTCTTTTTTTCTTAAAGTTTTTGAGAGAAGAAAAATGGATGAGTTTTTGGAACATCTTATTACTGCAAATGAATAAGAAATACATACTCATTTCTTAAAAGTGTAAAATGAAATATTTTTACTGGTCCTAAGTTACATGTTTTTACCATGTTTGGCCCTGTGTGTCATGTAATTGTATTAAATACTTAGATGCTCCTGAAGCATTTTAGAAGAATAAAAGTAAAACTTTAATGTATGTTTATAATGTTTAATGTATGTATATGACTTCCTGAAACACTCAGAATATGATGTATTTTGCTGATTGATGTTTCATTCTCACTTAGTTTTTTTTTTTTTTTTCTTTTTAATTTCACAGAGATGCTGATGCCACCAGAATAGACATTTATGCAGGTAAGTCAGAGTAGACCCTTTCTGTGATGACCTGTACCTGTAATGCACTTTTTACTGCTGTATCCCTAAGAAGAAATGAATGGGAAATAATTGATTTTTGGAGCATGGAGAGATGGCCATAGCTAGATATGGCCATAGGTAGAAACAGGGCAGCACTGGTCAAGCATATCATAGAAATCAAGAATGTTGGTTTCAAAACTAATGCCAGGGGTTATATCTAAGTGCATAGGCAAAAGGACACTTGGGGTGATGGCATAAAGTAATGTGACATGGAATGACCAAATACTGGTCGTCTGGAATTAAGGATTTTATTGGTAGTTTTTTCTTACCGTTTTTTGTGAGTAGCAGTCTTTACTGGGAAGATGGTTGGTGTCTGTTGCATAAAACAGTTGGTAACTGGGTTGCAGTTACATTTGTAGAGGTGGTAGACACCTCTGGTAGAGGTGTCCAGTAAGAAAGATGACTACTTGGCCAGAAATTTGAGAGTTTTGCTGTCTTCTACTGTTTTGGATGGATTGACTGTCATTTTATACTAAAATTCTCTCTCTCCTACAATGGTTGTAACAGTGGAAGAATTCCTAGTCATTATGATTGGCCTTTTTTTTTCTCCAGCTCAGTATTTGCACTTTTTTTTTTTTTTTAAATACTATAGGGCCTGGGGATTTAGCTCAGCGGCATAAGAGCCTGCCTTGCAAGCAGGCGGTCGTGAGTTTGATCCCTGGTACCGATAAGAAAAAATAAAATACTATAACTTTGGAAATGGAATAGAAGAAGAAAACAGCTTGTTTCCAGTTTGTTTAATGTTATATGTTTTCTCACACTCGTTCTGAACTCTCCTGTAAGGATTGAAGTTATATTTTGAATATCACTGCCTAGCTCCTGAGAAGTCTGTGTTTACATAGGAATACAGAGTTTCAAATAACTCCTCTTCACAGGCCCACTTGCTACATGGGACTGAGCACACAATTAAGTAGTAATTCTTAGACCCCTTAATGTTAGGTGGTTATGCAGAATCTCCATGCCTAATACTACTTTGGAGTAAAGCAAATGTTCCAGATACCTACTTGTCAGCTATACTGCTTAAATTCTCAAAATTGTCTGTTGGAAAGCCCCTACTAAAGTGGTAGAAATAGGCTTCTTTTATTTTTAGAAGTAACAGGAAAAAAAGGAGTATAACAGAAGAATGTTAGAACATGGCTGCTAAATCTTTGGCCAAATGGAATGGCCTTTCCAAGCTAGAGCTGAATGTGCTTTTAGGAGTGGTAAGTTACCTGTATAAGAAATAACGATCATTATGCACATGATGGGGCAGAGAATGGGCCTCTACTTTGAGTTGTCAAAGAAAAAAATTCCAATAGCTAAGTCAATATTTGGAAAAAAAATTTTTTTTTTTAAAAGGTCATCTCTGTTCCCTTGTACCACCTTGCTGTGATTCAGTGGATGAATTGCAACAAGGAAATTCAGTTCTTAACATGTAGAATGCAGCATTTAAATTGGATATCAATTTAAATGAAAAAGATTTAGTGTACATTTATTCTGTGCTCAGTTCTACTATTGTGCTTTGGGAAAAGTCCAGAGAGGATCAGATGAGGCCTTTTCTCTAAGAACTTTGTTTCTAATTGGAGATAATGAGCATAGTACTGGTGATTAAAAGATGATAACTAGATCTTGAGGGACAGTTTGAGACAATTAAGAATTAAATAGTGTGATAGGAGCAGTGCCATAGTGTTTTGAAAAAGGACTTGCTTTATTTTAAGTTTTTTGGGATTAGGATTCTTGACTGAGGCATCCTTAACTTCTCAGTTTTCTACCCTACTGCCTTATTAATGCTTTCAACAGGAATAAAACAATGTTGTCACTAATTTTAACACTCTAAAGTCCTTATTAGTAAATGTTATTTCCTGTTTTGAAATTGAACTGTTACAGAACTTGGAAATCCCCCAAACATCAGATTTGGCTTGAAGTCACTAGAAAATCACTTTTTAATGCTGCCTTTCAAAGTACAGAAGTATATATTTGTCCAAAGTATTCTTATTAGTTGAAACTAAGGCATGATAACATACCAGTTAGAAGAATGTAGGGTTTTTTCGTTTTTTTTTTTTGTCTTTTTGAGACGGAGTCTCACTATGCAGTTCAGGCTGGCCTTGAGTTTACTTTGTACCCTAGGCTGGTCTCAGACTCCCAATGATCCTCCTGTTTCAGCCTCCTTGAGTGTTTACAAGCATGAGCTGCCATACCCAACTAACAGTAGACATCCTTGTCTTGTTCCTGGTTGCAGAATGTGATGAAGAACTTGGATGCCATTACATAATGGCCTCTGGAAAGGATATCTTTTTATCATTGCATCTCACTTGTAATTTTTTTTTTTTTTTTTTTTTTTTGGTACTGGGGATCAAACCCATGATCTCACCCTTGTTGGGCAGGCATTTACGCCACTGAACTAAATAAATTCCTGGCTCCCTAAAGTGTTCGCTAATTTTTTTTTGTACCAGGAATTGAATTTATTACTGCGCATGCCAGGCATATCCCCAGCCCAACTGTAGATTTTTATTGGCTTTCTAAATGTCTTGGTTTTTTGTTGCCGAGACAAATACCTAACACCCAGAGTTAAAGGAGGTGAAGATGTATTTGATTGTTGTGGTTTCAATTCGTGGTAGGCTGACCCTAAGGCAGTGTAGCATAGCAGAGGAACATCACAGAAGAGAAATGGTTCACAGCAGATAGAAGGCAGCAAAGTAGCAAACAAGTTGCAGCCCTCTTTCTGTTCTTTGTATTTTTATGCAGGATACCCACCCTTATATTAGATACCACTCACATCCGGGAGGGCCTTCCCATTATCCACTCCCAGAGCTATACCAAACCAATCAGTGGACTAATTTAGTATTCACACACCCTTGATTCACAGTGTCATATACGCTAGATCCAGCCATCTCTGAAAACCCCCACCTGTGACCACATGAGGCTTTTGTCAGGGTTGGGGGAGACATCTAGATACAAGCCATAACATTGAATTGTCTGGGGAGGGTACTGTCATGTTCTCTAAAAAGATTCCTTGTGTGCTGCCAGGGCAATTATTAAATAAATGGAAAATTGGTCAGAACAAATGAAACTGACATTAGTACTGCTCATTAGAGTGAATGAAACTGAAGTTTAGGTTGCAGAATATGATGAAGAACTTGGATGCCATTACATAATGGCCTCTGGAAAGGATATCTTTTTATCATTGCATCTCACTTATAATTTAAGCTCCATTTCACCTCCCTTTACCCACTTAATGGGAATAAATAGTTGGTGAATGTGCTGCTTGTGGAAGTCAGACTTGGTCATGTTGGAGAAAACTTAAAAGTGCAACCTTTCAAACTGGTTTGGCATGATGTTGTGTATCTGTTACCAGGGTCTGAGGCACAGCTAAGAAGGCACTTTGGCTTTCTGGCTTCCAACTTGCTCCTTTCCTTAAGGAATGAATTTCTGTGGTGAAATGTGTGGGGACGTAGTTTTAAGTAGGGATGCTTGTGTATTTCTCCTCGCATGCTCTGGAATGTTGCTTTAAAAATGGTGATCCACTCATCAGCCCTGAGAGAAATGCAAATTCTGTGGTCCTACCTCTGACCTATCTGTAGTGGAGCCCAAAATCTGTATTTTTATAACTCTTTTAGAGAGAGTGGAGTCTTAACATTATGAACTCCATGGAGACAATGATCACATTCACATTCTTTAGTTGCTTTTTTTTTTTTGTACTGGGGATCGAACTCATGACCTCATGCTTGCCAGGCAGGCGCTTGTGCCACTGAACTTAGATGCTCTTTTCTGTATCACACGGTCAGGGGTCCTCATAAGGGGTCCTCAGTGAATAGTTACCAAATAAATGAGTCTTTTGCACATGTATTGTAACCAAGCAAAGATACTACGCTGCCTGTGTACAACGTTAAAGAAGTTAACTGCTGAGTTACCTAATCTGTCTTGACCCTGAAGCACTATTGCATTTGACTGTGGACCTGGACACTACTAGTCATTTATAAGATATTAGTTACTATATGTTCAGGGGGATTTTTCCGCCAGTATGAGTGTCTTACCCTTGTAAACTATATAAAAGCTTTGAAATGAAGTCTTTGAGTCTGAAAAAGGTTCCAGATCCACTGTTGAGTGGTGATGATACGCTGAAACATTTTTGCCTGTGAATCCTGTTCTAATACAAGAACATAGAAAGTGACTTCTTCGATAGTGTTCAAAAAATGCCAGAAATCCTTGGGAACTTCTCAGATACACTTGGCTAAAACCAATTTCTAGATCCCAGGGCAGACTCTCTATGCATATTTCATGCCATAGTGTGTATAGTAAATGACTCTAGAGTTCGAACACTGTTTTTGCTGTGCTATGTATGTGACCCTGTTTGAGGCTCCATACTTTGCTTTTATCAGATGGAAACTTTGATATATTTTACCACTTATTTTTTGGTACTGGGGATTGAACTCACGACCTTGTGCTTGCCAGGCAGGCACTTATGCTGCTGAGCTAAATCCCCAGCCCCCTTTTAGCACATTTTATGTACTTGTGCCTACTTGCCACATCTCATTTGCATTCCCTAGCCTCTGATGAGAGGCATTGCCACAGGGAGAGATTTTCTTCTATACCAATTGTACTACAGGAAGATCCTCACTCTTGAACTTTCAAGAGGCACTTGTAATGAATGTTCAGTTTCCTGAACACAGAGTGATACTTGAAAATCTCTGTGCTTTATAGTCCTGAAATTGCATTTTAAATTACATTATCTAGGTAGTAACATTCACTTGAAGTTTTAGCCTAAGGGGAGGACAAAGAACATTTTAAATAGATTGGTCAGGATAGATAGTTGTACAAAGTTAATAAACTGCTGCTTGAGGAAGTTTAAAAAATTTTTATTAGGGACCAGATTTCAAAGCAGTCTTAGGCTTAGACCTTATACTGAACTTGTTCCTTCTATTAGACATGCTCCTTTTATCCCTGTGCCAAGCAGTGGACTATAACAGCATCTAAACTGGGGGATGTTAGTGGTACACCCTATGACTTGTGTAAGTCTTCTGCCTCCACTTCGGTCTCATATTCGTCTCTCTTATTGATTCTGCTTCCCTGATTCCAACTCTAGTTTTTCTGTTGCTCACCTGCTCTTCACTGAATCAATAGCTCCATGGCAACAAGTATAGCCCTCTTCTCTATTTGGGACTTCTCTATTTGGGACTTTCTTCTCCATTGTCCGTGACATCCTGGATTCATACCTGCTTTGGGTTACAACTTGCTGTAAGAAGTTCTTCATCTACCCTCCAGAATGGCAGCCTGTTGTGTACCTTTCTTGTTGTTCAAGAAGCCCTACCACAGCTGCTGTAAATGTTATTGTCAAGGGACTTCTGCCTGCAGTCACGCAGATCTAACTAGGAACTAGGTACCTATCACTTTACTTTGTGTCCTCTTACACCTTTCAAGGACTGACCCATAGCTAACAGGGAATATGACTATGAATTACACATAGTTCAGAAGCTGCTGTAGTGACCCTGGGAGTCATCATATATAGACTCAGTGATTTATCTTTTATATAGTAGCTGCCACCACTATAGTGCCTACCATGTCTGGCTTCCTCACTTTGTCTCAAAGCTAGTTCAGATTTAAAAGGAGAAGGTGGTAATTTTTGAGTTGGAGCTGTGTTGATAAGCTGCATTGTAAGCAACTAGTTGGAGTACTGTAATGATATATGGTACAGGACAGAATTGGCAGCAATCCAGTTAGAGAAAGGCAGAAGGACAATTGAGGTATATGTGAAATACATGCATATTCAGTGGTCTTGGGTGTGGTTAGGTGTTGGACTGGGTAGTTACCACCCTCCTTACAGTTTTTCTGGAACTTTATCTTCAACTAGAAGACACTGGAGAACCTTAGATCAAGAATTCATAGTCTCAAGGGCCCTCATGCTGGCTTAGGCTGTTAGAAGACTGATTTGATGTGACCCTCTACGTTCAAGCTTCACATTGATCTACCTTCTGTTCATACTCCCATTTCTACCCTTTTTTGGATAATAGCCCAGTAATGACAGCTGCTTCATTCTTTTACAGAAAGGCGAGAGGATCTTCGAGGAGGATTTATGCTCTGCTTTTTGGATGATGGAGCAGGAATGGATCCCAGTAAGTGATAAGATGATTGTGTTTCTCTGGGGGGAGGATATAGCCATTGTTATAAAGCACTATATAAACTTGATTTTGTGTCGCCTCACTGTTGTGACAGTAAGATCCACTTGGAAAGCAAAGCACCTATTATAACATTTTAGGTTTAATTCCACTATATATACATTGAATCTTGTCCTGATCTGGTAATTAGGGCCTAAATAACACTCTTAAGTTAGATTACCTGTCTCTTGACATTGTATCTATCAGTTTGTTAAATATTCTAGACTGGAACTACTGAGGTCTCCACTAGTGTGTTTACTATGTTCTGGTAACAGAACACGGGAGTCTTGGTACTGGCAAGCCAAACACAGGTTGTCTCGTTTTGCCTCATGATTGCAAATTTCCTTAGAAGAGAGCAGACACACAGTCATGCTTTAGCAAGGCTTAGACATTTTACTTTGAGAAACTTGGGAGAGAGATGCTAACATTCACTTCTGTGTTTGTCACTTCAAGGTGATGCTGCCAGTGTGATCCAGTTTGGGAAGTCAGCCAAACGAACACCTGAATCCACCCAGATTGGGCAGTATGGGAATGGGTTAAAATCGTAGGTATACTAGAAACCTGTCACAGGGCTCTTCTCTTTTTCTTGTCCTCAGTGACTAACTCTGAAAAAGTAGGAAAGTCAAAAAGGAGTGGTGATTTGTGGGTAGCTTACCAACATTACCCAGCTGAGTTTGCTCTATAATATGAGCCTGCAAAACAAGTTGGGGTGGCTGAGGCTGTGGGTTTCTTTTGGCACTGTGTACTAGAGCTGCGCTTTATCTTTAGGAAAATTCTTGTATAAGCCCTGTGATTGAGACTGTGAGTTGTTCTCTTGTGAGGTTGGGATATGTCTGATGTAGTGAGGGGTTATCTCAAGGTACAGTGGTGTTCCTGAGCACCTGCTGTATGTTACGGTTTGTGCCAGCCACTGGGGATCTAGAGTGAGGAAGAGACTCAAGTCCCCCTTCCTGGAGGATGGTACTGTTTCTGTTTACGTATTTTGTGAGATCTTATGGCAGGGACCCACTCTCTATCTTCACATCCCTTGAGACTTCTCCCTTAGCACTTGGTTCCTATTTGTTCAGTGTTTGGAATGTGTTGTTCTGGTTTTGAGTGAAGCCCCAAGAGAAAGGTTTCTATTTCTGAAATGCTCACTTCCAGCTGTACATACCTTTGGATGGAATATGATTTAGTGAAATTGGAGTTTGTGCAAATGGAATTATGAGTCACATTTCTAGTCTTGGTGTGGAAATGTTGTTTTGTTTGAGAGAGGGTGATGGTATGATTTGTCAACAGCCTTGGTCAGGCTTCGTGTTCAGGGTACATTGAACATGGGGAGGAGAATGCTTCCAAGGGAATCAGGTTCCTGGTTCCTAGACTTTATGATTTCTTTCTCGGGGTAGGAACCAAGGAGTAATGATAAACACTGTGTGCCTTGCAATGTGTCCCCAAAATGAAGGAGAGACCTTGATTTTCTTGTGGATCGTGGGTCAGCTTCCTTCTGTCTGGTCCATTCAGTTTTGTGGGTTGTTTCACCTAATATAGAAGTGGATTCTAATATTTGACATTCTCTTTTAGAAAAGGGGATTCAGGAAGGAATTATGTGGCTCTGAAAGTGGTTAAAAGACTGGAAAGGAATGTCTAGACATTGAGTGTTCTTAGCATTTTCAGAAGATTTTCATGAAGGTCTCATTGAAGTGTTGCCATCTAGTGTTCAGAATAGAAAGCACACCCATGTTTAGTGCAGCACAATTTGTAATAGCTAAGTCTTGACACAACCCAAAGTGTCCTTCAACTGCAGGGTAGTAAAAAAGATGTGTTTTTTTTTTTTTTTTTTTTAAATATACAATGGAGTACTACTTGACCATAAAGAAGGATAAACTTGAGACATTCGTAGGCAAATGGATGCAATTTGAGACCATACTCATAGGTAAAATAAATCAGACTCATATATGTAAATATAGTATTGGCTCACTCGTGTGAGAAACTAAAAGTAAATAAGGACCAAAATATACAGTAGATATTATGAAATGGAAAGAAATTGTTCAAAAGAAAAGAGGGGGCCCCAGGATTTGTTCAGCAGTTCAAGTGCTTGCATGGTAAAGTGCAATGTCATGAGTTCAATCCCCAGTACCAAAAAAAGGGAAGGAGGAACTAGGATGAGGGTAAGGAAAGCAGGGAAAAGGAAAAAAAAAATGCAAGATAGTTATAATACTAATTTCTCTTAGTTCATTGAAAAGAAAGGTTTGAGCTAATCTTGCTTGGAAATTTTTTATGCCCATATCTTGTACTCTGAGTAACCACTTGGATGATACCAGTAAATATACAGCCTATTAACAATTGTTATGAAATTGTTTTTTTTCTATTAAAAAAGAATAGACAACACAATCATTTTAAAATTAATTCAGTTGAAGTTCCAGGAGAAAGTGATTTGTAGTGAGAATAGGGCTGAGAAGCAGGAAAGCCAGCAAAGAGGTGATATTTTGGGTTTTTGCTCTTAAGGCCCTATTGTGGATCAAAGGCAGATGAAATACAGACACAGTTTTGGCAAATTAAAGCAAGGGCAAATCTTGACAGAGGAAAAATAATGTGCCTCCTTTTGCTACCTGCAAGCTTCGGAGAGAAGAAACACTGAAGTTGAAGAGGAAAAAGCCTGCCAGCACATTGGGTACTGGAGGAGGAGAAATGGCACTTGGCAGCCCCCAGGACATTTCTCAAATGTCCTGGATGTCTTCCTGAGTGGGGAAATGGAGCATGACATTCATTTGTGTGCTTAGCCTGCCAGTCTACTTTGCATTTGTACTCAAAATAATGAGAGTTTCTACCTTGGTCATCTCCTGGGGTATTATGAGGACTAATGAGGTAATAGCTGTAAAGCCCCAGAAGCTGTTCAGAAGAAAATCGCTAAACAGCCTCATTGTTGATTGGGAAGTCTTGCCTCTGCCCTGTTTTATGCTGCCTACAAAGGCCTGTCCCTGCATGTTCCTCAGAAGCTTTACCATGACCAAACAGAAAGGAAAAAGTTGATTGCATCCAAATTTTTTGCATTGTGAAAGTCAGCCTCAAGGCACTGTTCCACAAACCAACCACATCCAAAATAGAGACCTGCCTATACTGTTAGTGAGCTTGAGGTGGCAAAGCAATTCTGAGACTAAAGATGGTTGCAATTATCTGTGTTGACCCACATAAGACCTCCTTGAACATTACTGTATTTTTTTGGCCTCTGCATTTGGTTGTCTTGGGTTCATGCTACTACTTGGAGAACTTGTGGGCATAAGCACTGGGCTGTTACCTTGGTATTCTTGTTGCTGTTTGATAAATGGACATGAGGGAGTAATTCTGTCAGTGAGGGAAAAGATAAGAACTGTGTGTGGTCTGCATAGAAAGTGATACGCTGCAGGCGTTAGCTACTGGAGTGGAACCTGCTGGTGGCACAGACAGAGGACATAGCAGCCCTTATGTGATTGTGAACCCATAGGTGGGGGCAACAAGGTTACTTGTTAATGTTGTAGCAACAAGCTGGGAATGAAACTAACCTGGGGCCTTTGGTCAGCATTGAGTACATCCTAAAAAGATGGTAAGAGAATCCTGAATGGAGGGTAAGTGTGGTATACAAGGTTATAAGTAAAGAATATGTAATTAAAGCAAGGAATGTTGGTGAGTGATGAGGGAACAGGGGCCAAGGAACTCTTTTCAGGGACCAGGATCTAGGGGACCCTTCAGAGAACCCTCCAGAGGCAGTTTGCATCATGTCCAAAGGGTGGGTTTCTCTTTTAGATGAGCTTTGAATCTTTGGAAGACTAACCTGTTTTCTGCTTCCATTTCAGGGGCTCAATGCGTATTGGGAAGGATTTTATTCTCTTCACTAAGAAGGAAGATACCATGACCTGCCTCTTCTTGTCTCGTACCTTTCATGAGGAAGAAGGCATTGATGAAGTAGGTCCCATCTTGATGCCCTGAATCACCTCTCTACATTTCCTCCATCTGCCTAGGCCCCCATTACAGGTTTAGCTGGTTGAGGAGAGAAGGCAGATGATACGTTAAGTGAAATTTTAGAGCACTTTAGAGAACAGCTGTCTTGTTTCTGAGAAGACCATCAGATGACAGGAATCAAGAGTTGGATCTGAACTCTTTTAGATCTGCAGTTTAAATGGCCTTGAGGCTGTCACCATGGAGAGCTGTGTTACCAGTAGGAGTATTTTGGGCTTCCCTGTTATGAGTGGAGATTGAAGCTGGCAGTAATATGGAAAGAGCAGTGTCTTTCCAATATGATGATGCTGTGAAATATGTTATAAATGTATTTTTCCTTTTAAATGGAGTGTTCTAACTGCATAAATTAGAGACTGTATTTAGACATCTTCAGAGCTTAAGCAGGTATTGAAACCAAAGGAGTATATGGAAAACATCTGTATGAGCTTGTTAACTGGCAGCTGTCACTTAGTCTCACTTTGGAAGTGGCTGCTATACAGCTCCAGTGGTTACTACTGTGCTGGAAAAAAAGTCTTAATCCAGAATATACTTATTGTAAAATATTTTGGACAGAAGCAGTGGTATGCAGCTGTAATCTCAATGGCTTGAGAGGCTGAGACAGGAGGATCACAACTTTGGGGCCAGCTTTGCCAACTTAGTGAGACTCTCAAACTTAGAGGGTCAAGTATTACTATGAAGTCCTTGGGTTCAATTTCTAGTACCACCAAATAATAAAAATAAAAACATTTTGTTAATTAATTAGCTTTGTAAATGAAACACTCACCAACCACTTTTCTTTGTGGCCTGCTGTCTTCCGTATCTGCAGAATTCTTCCTTGTTAGAACAGTTAGGATATTCTCTGTTCTGTCTAGCCTCAGTGTTGACACTTTTCACCTCTCGTAACTAATGGAGACCAGAGCTTGGAAGACAGGGCTGAGAGGTTCTGTAGAAGAAATCCATGGCTGTTACATGTAGATGATTGAATTCAAAGTTTCAGTCTAGTTCCTTTTCGTTGGTTAGTCAAAACTGAATTTGTACTGCTCCTGTCCAGATATGAGCCTTAATCATGGCAAACTAATTTACACTGGGAATGGCAGGCTGTCTTTTCCTGCAGGCTTTACTTAGCAAGGCAGTGAGTTTGTTCCCCTTTTTGGTGCAGTGTATTAATTCATTTAGCATATTGGGACTGACAGATGCACTGCAGCTTTGAGAGAGCAGGCTTCCTGGGGAAGGCAGGACAAAAGGACATAGTTTGGACTAGGACATTCATGATGGCTAGACCTGTGATGGTCTTATAAAGTACAAAGGACTTGACCTCAGGACTTTGTTGAGAGACAGGGACTTTATCAAGTAAGAGTATGCAGTACTGGGTTGTGTTTACAAAGGTGTATTTGTTGATTAGATAGAAAGATTGGGGGGTGGAGTGTGAGTGTTGGAGTGGACTAGCTCATAGGCCTTTTCTGCATGGTAGCGTGTTGGAACTTGTAACAGGGAGGTAAGAGAAACCGATGGAATCATCATCTCTCTAGGATGTGGGTCCTACAGATGTGTTGATATATCATGGGGGAGGGGAGGGAAGAGTGGGGTCTTACAAGATCTTGAATGGCAGTTGGGAGTAGTGGGCTGCCTGGAATTAGGAAAGAATGGAAGAAGAGCAGTCTGAGGTAGGGAAAATGTAGATTTGTTCTGGACATGGGAAGTGAAGTATGGGTCTGTAGTCTGAGGGAATTCTGCTGAGATTCTTGATAGCAAGTGAGTTCAGTGAGAGAAGATAGTAGAGAGAGAAGAGGACCTGGGTTGTAGGCAGGTGAAAATCAGAAAACCAGGGGAAAAGAAGGTGGTACACAGAAAAAATGGCACAAATGGTAGGATAACTGGCAGAGTAATAAAATTGAAACTGTCCTGAAGGTGATGGGTAGTTAGTGAGAATGATGACCCTTGGTTTATAGTGATGCCATCACCTGGAACTGCTTTGAAGAATGAGAAATACAGATTTTGGGGTATAAGTTTGTAGATGGAACTCAATTCCTTTGGTGAAGAAGCTAGGTCGAAATTTTTCCCTTACTTGGTGCTCGAAGGTCACTATTTTGGATTATACTCTAGTATGAGCTCAGCCAAGATTTCAAAATAAGATCATTTTTGGCTGAGGAGGAATGTGTCCAGACCAGCCCTACAGTTGAATGCTTTCAATACAGAGCTTTTTAGAAACCAGCACTATCTCAGAACTATGAGTAGTTTAGCACCCCTGGCACTTGTTAAGATACAGAGACCCTTTGTTCTAAGGATAGACCATCTGAGGTCAAACCCCTAAGGTGCCTCAACTGGTTTGCTGTGGAGATAGCATCCTGCCAGCTAGCCTTCTCTGCAGGTTGGAGAGGGCTGTTAGGTTGGAGGAAGGGAGACGGGTATGGTAAGACCACTGGGGAAGTGGTGTTTGAAGTAGGGTTTTCTTCAGAATAGTTTTTTAAAGCACTACTCAGTTATAAAATCACATGTCATATATATGGAAGAATGTATTAAAATATATGTACAGTTTATAGAATAACTATAAAGCAAACATCTGTGTAGTTGGCATTATGGACCAATGTTAGAAGGCCCCCAGGAGCCATCACTGGATCATACTTACTATTATGCCCCTGAAGAAAACATCTTTAGGTAACTTTTGGACTGACTATTACCTTCTTCTCTGCAGCTTGTCACCTTTGTATACATTCCTAAGTATTAGTTAGTTTTTCCTATTTATGGGTTTTATATAAATGAACTAATACTATACTCATATCTGCTTTCATGTAGCATCATGTTTATTAGACTCATTCACACTGATGCTAGTAGTAACTTGAGTTTGTTGATTTTCATTACTGCATAGTGTTTCATTGTATAAATATATCACAGTTTTAATTCACCACTCTGGAGCAGATGTTCTAGTTTTTCCTAGGGTATTTACTCAGGATGGAAATGTTATGTCATGTGTACCTTTACATTTTACTAGATAATTGCAAATACGTTTTTCCTAGTGGTAAGAGTAGCATTTTTACCAAATTAAGAAAATGGCTGGGTACATCCAGTTAGGGAGCTGCCCTAACAGAAACCCTGAGGCACAATCCAGCATATCTTAAGAGGAAATAGTGTTTTGAGGATGCTTCTCACCAAGGGGCTGAAGCCACAGAGCCTTTGATGCCAGATGTGGATGCTAGGCTTCAATTTCAAGCATATACAACCACTGGGGAGGTGGTTGTATATAAATAGCTGCTTGTTTTCAGGGTAGGTTGTTCTAGGTCTCACAGTGTCAGCCTTTGCTTACTTCAAAGGTGATAGTCCCATTGCCCACCTGGAATGCCCAGACCCGGGAACCTGTTACAGACAATGTGGAGAAGTTTGCCATTGAAACAGAACTCATCTACAAGTATTCTCCCTTTCGCACTGAGGAGGAAGTGATGAACCAGTTCATGAAGATTCCTGGGAACAGCGGTAAGTAGGCTTTGAGCCTGCAGCACATAGAATCTTGGAGCTTCAAGGCCACAAGTGGTATGGGGATAGGCAAGGTGTGCCTAAAATTGAAAGGAAGATTTCTGTTCCCCAGGAACATTGGTGATCATCTTTAATCTCAAGCTTATGGATAATGGAGAGCCTGAACTAGACATAATCTCAAATCCAAGAGATATCCAGATGGCAGAGACTTCCCCAGAGGGCACGTGAGTGTGGCTGGGAATGAAGCAGGCTATGGACAAATTTATTCTCTGAAGAGGTGACCTTGGAGAAAGGGGTGGGCTTGTTCTCTGGATTTTAGTGGTAGCATTAGTTGATGGAGGTGAGAGCACCACATTTGTTTGCCACAAGGCAGCAGGGGTGAATATTAGGACAACAGCTCCTCAGTTAAACTAAAGAAAAGATGAGTACATTCCTGCTGGCTTGAGCATATGGTACATGCATGACTGAACCACTGGTGGCTAGCTATTTAGAATGGAATTCAAATCAGAGTCACCAAGCAGCAAGACAGGAATCATAGTCATCATGATTGTGTGTGTCAGTGGTCTTAGCTCCAACTTCCTGATTTGACAGAGGAAACTGAGATCTAATGAGAGATGCTCTACTGAAGTCCCTGGTAGGAGCAGTTGAAATGCCTGTGGTGCAATTGTGCTGGGACTATGAGAAGGGACAGGATATACCATGCTGAAGGAACACCCTATCAGGGTAGCTTGAGAAGCTAAGATGTGAGGTAGGAAGGTGGAAAGCCTTCAAAGAGGCTGTCACAGCTTGGGGGGCTTCTTTTGGGTTGTGTAACTGCACTTCTTTGTTCCTGCCACCTCCAGGAAGCCTGAACGGCGCTCTTTTCGAGCCTATGCTGCGGTGCTTTACATTGATCCTCGAATGAGGATCTTTATCCATGGGCACAAGGTGCAGACCAAGAGGCTTTCCTGCTGCTTGTATAAGCCCAGGTAGGGCCTGCCTACTCTGGCCAAGTCCAGGAATAGGGCTTGGTTGCATTTCTTGGGGGGTAGGGGCATTTTAGAATGGTACAATGTGAGTGGCTTTCCAAGTACTATTTTGAACTTTTAAATTGCCATGTGCTTTACCAGAGTTACTTCTAGGTCTTGAGGGAGGGACAGATGTGACTGCCTATGGGAGGTTGGCTGGTTAAGCTTGTCTAACATTGTATCTTCTTAGATGTGGAGAGTGGCAGAGTGAATTGAATCTTTTGCTTAAGGGCCCACGGGCCTATAGCCAGGAAAGCGAGGGTCCGGACTTCTTATTGAGGTTTTATTTTGTGTTCTGAAATAAATAACACTGGTGAACATCAGAAACTGAGCAAGAAGCCAGGAACAAGTGGAAAAATGAGTTACTCTTTTTGTCAAGATGAGCTTGGATTTGTTTTATTATGTGGGGCCCTGGCAGCACAGTTTGGAAGAAGCCAGGAAGGCAGGGTGCTTTCTGGGCTTCTCAGGTTAGCAGTCTGCCCCACTGATGCTAGACCTTCAAGTTGGTTTTTCTACTGTTCAGGATGTACAAGTACACGTCTAGCCGTTTCAAGACCCGTGCGGAGCAGGAAGTGAAGAAAGCAGAACATGTGGCACGGATTGGTAATGTCACTTCTTGTGTAGGAGGAGGGCATTGGGTGGAGGCCATCTGAGGGACTCAGTTTTTAGCCAAAGCAAGCATCCAGGAGAGAAGGCTCTGTCTATTACCTATGAACAGGGCTGTTCTTCAGAACTCTGGTCCATTTCCTAATTCTTCTCAGATCCAGTTCTCTCAGCCACTTTTTTCTCTAGGGTCTCTCATCCCACTTTGTCTGAAGCAGTATGAAGTCTTCAGCTTGCCCAAAATGAAGAATTCCTTATTTTTCCTTTGCCTTGAATACTTGTGAAATTTTTTTTCATGACTACAGGGCAAATATTTCAAAATCTTTCACCAGGGCTGACCTGGATTTCTCAAAGTTTCTTACCTGCTTTATGGCAAGTGATTGACTGAAGACTTCTTTAGCCTTCAACTTTACGATGAGGCTTAACTCTGATTGCCCCTGATATTGGGGGATCCGCTTTGATTTCTTTGTGAAGTTTAGAATGTACATACTCAGTTATAGAGTACCTGCTTTCTGTGGGGTCTCCTTGATATTTTTGAATGCCAGATTTTCTTTCTGAAGTAATTCTGCAGTCCAAGCCTGGAGGATGTGCCTGTTACTTCTCCATTTGGCTTTTTCTGTCCTGGTCTGTGCACTGCTCTCTAGGAGAGATTTAAACCTTTGAATTCTTCATCATGGTTTCTTCTGGCTTTCAGCTGAAGAGAAGGCCCGGGAGGCAGAGACCAAAGCTCGGACATTAGAAGTACGCTTAGGTGGAGATCTCACGAGGGACTCCAGGGTAAGACCACAGACTCATTTAGCTGTTTTCCAGTTTTTTCTGGATTGAGCCCATGTCTTATGAGTGGACAGTGGATATTTTAAAAATATGCCTTTTAAGTTTGGGCCCAGCATGGCCCATTTTTTGTAGGGTAAAGAAAATCTCCAGGTGTGATTTTAAATCCATGTGAGAGTTAAAGTGATATGTAGATGTAATACAGTATTTCCTGCTATGGCCCTGGGGACCTCCTCCCCTTGCTTAACATTAATGTATCTGTCCAGGTGATGTTGAGACAGGTCCAGAATACTGCCATCACCCTGCGCAGAGAAGCTGATGTAAAGAAAAGGATCAAAGAGGCCAAGCAGCGGTGAGTGCTGGGCCTGTTCTTTGATCTTTTAAAATGATGTAGCCTTTGTACTGGTTGATAGGTTGCCATTCTGTTGTCAAAACTACTTTAAAGAACAGTATTGTGATCCCACATACTTGTCAGATGTGTCCCTATAGCGGAGTTGTCTCTCTGAGCTATCTGCACTTTCCTGAGTGTACAAAAGGCTGGGCAGAGCCAACCTCTCAAATACCAAACTGCCTTTATCAGTGCTGTCTCACCTTTTTTGTTTCTTCTAATTAAAGGACTCACAAAGTACTCCCTGTATAAAACTTGAAAAATAGAAAACATTTAAGAAATAAAACTTTATAGCACTTCGGAGGCTGAGACAGAATCATTACGAGTTCAAGACCAGCCTGGGCTAAAGTGAGCTCAAGGCCAGCCTGAACTGTGAAACGAGACACTGTCTCAAAAAGACAAAGTATATAAATAAATAAAATAAAAAAACAAGTATTTAAAAATTCCAGTGTAAGTTGTACCACCTACTCTCATTTTTTATGTTGTAATAATGTAATTCGTTCTATCTTTATAGGTTAGACATAGTGTTATAGATTGAGTTTTGTACACTTTTTTCATTTAGAATGTGCATTTGCTATGGATCATTAAATTATCCCTGGTCCCTTATCCCAGCTCCAGGTCTGGTGCTTCTTAGGATTCTGGATATGAATTCTGATTTGCTTCTTACTGGCTTCCTGCTGTATAGGCTTAGGTTTCAGTATTTCAAGTCTAATTCCACTGCTCACCCATCTGCTCTTCAGACTCCCAAGATTGTGTTGACATTAATCACATGATAGTTTCTCCTCTCACATATTCTTGTGAATTTTTGCCTCTAAAAAAATTAATTTATATCACAGTAGTGGAGTTTAGTGATGGTATGAAGATAACCTGGTGCTTATTCCACATTAACAATCTTTGGAGAAATGAGTAGCAGCTTCATAGTAATCTATGCATACTTGAATTCATCCCTGTTTTGTTACCAAAAAGGTAAATTGTATGTTGCTAATTAGGGAAGCTTACAGTTCCTGTTGCAGATCTGTATTAAATCTACGAGATCACACATCGAATTAGAGATGCAGAACTTTTCTTAACACGTCTCAAGTTCAGGCTTCAGTTTAACACATCTTCATTGCTATGTTATTTTTATGCTAATGAGTAGATCTGCCTGAATTTTTTTTTTTTTTTTTTTTTTTTTTTTTTTTGTCTTTGTTAGTGCACTCAAAGAACCTAAGGAGCTGAATTTTGTTTTTGGGGTCAATATTGAACACCGGGACCTAGATGGGATGTTTATCTACAACTGTAGCCGCTTGATCAAGATGTATGAGAAAGTAGGCCCACAGCTGGAAGGTGGCATGTGAGTACTGCCCAAAGGAAGCTTTCTAGCCCAGGGTTGTGGTGACAGCCAGTGAGGTGACAGCTGTTTTCTCTTTCTCGTTACAGGGCATGTGGTGGGGTCGTTGGGGTTGTTGATGTGCCTTACCTGGTCCTGGAGCCTACACACAACAAGCAGGACTTTGCTGATGCCAAGGAGTACCGTCACCTACTGAGGGCGATGGGGGAGCACCTGGCACAGTACTGGAAGGACATTGCCATTGGTAATGGGGTCAGGCCACTGGACCTTTGCCCTTTCTCTCTGCCTCCAGTTTTTAAGATGTTCTTATGGGATGAAGTGAGTCTAGAATGAGATGATGTGATGTGTGACTTTCTTTTTTAGCCCAACGTGGAATCATCAAATTTTGGGATGAGTTTGGCTATCTCTCTGCCAACTGGAACCAGCCCCCATCCAGTGAGCTGCGTTATAAACGCAGGAGAGCCATGGAAATCCCTACTACCATCCAGTGTGGTGAGTTGGGTGTTTGGAACCTTTTTTTTGTTGTTGTTGGAACCTTTCTTTTGACTTAACTGATACTCATACCGTTCTACTGGCTGGGGATGAGTCTGTTTGTTAGTGATCCTGTGAGCTCAGTTGTGAAGCTATACATGTTGCTCCTCCTCTTCTGAAAAAAGCAGGTCACCTGACCTCTCAGGCCTCTAAATTCCATAGCTAGGCTAGGTTCTCTGGGTTTGGTATTAAGTTGTTTATAGAGTAAACAGATGGCTGTGATAGGATCCTCTTACCGGAGAGGAAGGGGCTGAGGGAGTTCAGAGTCCATGACATTTAACTTTTCATCCTTGATGGAATTACTGTCCTTAAGAATTAATGTTGTGTATATACAGGCAGAGTTGAGACATGAGGAAGATCTTTTATGGAAAGTCTGGCATATATTTGCCGTGGGTCTGGATTCCAGATACTGGAGATCAGTGTGGCTAATATGTGTATGTGTATATGTATGTTTTCTGTGTATCAGATTTGTGTCTGAAGTGGAGGACCCTTCCCTTCCAGTTGAATTCAGTGGAAAAAGATTACCCTGACACCTGGGTTTGTTCTATGAACCCTGATCCTGAGCAAGATCGGTGAGCACTTTATTTGACAAGCAGACTTCTGTAAAAAACTCTTGAGGTCCTTGCTCATATCATATATCTCTGGTTTGATGCATATAGTCAGTGTCCAAGAAAAAACAACAGGTATATATCCTGCAATGTATATAATTTCCATGCATTGGGAGCACTGAGGTGGTTTTTTATTTGAGAGAACAAGGTTGGCTAAGGAAGAAGGCCCCTGCCCCCTAGAGCCCTGTTTTGCCACAGCTTCCCCAGCACCTTCTCTCTATAGATGTGAGGCTTCTGAACAAAAGCAGAAGGTTCCCCTGGGGACATTCAAAAAGGATCCAAAGACACAGGAAGAAAAGCAGAAGCAGCTATCAGAGAAAATTCGCCAGCAGCAGGAAAAGCTGGAGGCCCTTCAGGTGCGTGGGTCATTAGCAGTGGGGAGAGCCACGGGCAGAGGCTATGCCAGGGGTCTACTTGGGACAGCACGCTTTAGGAGCCCCCCGTCTCCTCAGGCTGTTTCACCTTCCATTACCCGAACACTTGCTTGCCAGGGATTTCCAACCCCAAGCTCCAGATCCAAATACTGATTTTTAAGTATGCTTTGTTTATTCTTTTTTTCAAAAAGAGAAAAAAATTAGTTTATATGCTCCAAAATGATCCACTTTATTTAGAATGTATAAAATCACCAGAAAATAAACATCGTATCTTAGAAGTAACCAATACTAAAAATCCTTCCAATTTTTCATGAGTACATATGCATAATGTTCATGAATATATAAACAGTATGAAGATGGTGCTATTTAAAAAAACGTACATTTATGCATCTATTTTCTCATGAGAATGTCTTAGAATGAATGAAAAGAGTTTGCAAAATTCAGTGACTTTTTTGAACAACTCTTAATAAATTATCCTTGGGAACATGTGTTAATTTCTTTTCTTTACCAGTACATGAGTATTATTTTTAAATATTTTTGCCAATTTGATGGACAGATAAGCATTTTATACTTTATAATTATAATTTCCTTCATAGTTTTAAGATTGGAAAACTTTTTCATACATCCTCTTTCTATTTCTGGGTTTTTTTCCTTGATTTAATCCAGTTTTTCTAGATATGTTTTATGATTTCATATTACAAAATGTCTTAGTTACTTTTGTCATTGCTGAGACAAAATACTCACCATACAAAGTTAAAGGCGGAAAGGTTTAATTGGCTTGCAGTTCATAAAAGCTTCAGTCCAGAGTTGGCTGGCTCCAAGGCAGGATGGCATGGCAGGGGGACATCATGAACGAGAATAAACAGTTCATGGCAAAAGAAAGACAGGCAGAAGGCAGCAAGCAGCAAACAAGTAACAAGCGATGATTGTATCCCTGCTTCTGTCCTTTATATTTTTTTCAAGCTGCTGACCCTCTAAGGGTAGTTAACCCTCACACTCTTAACCCTAACATCAATCCCAGCATTATACACACCTTACATCCACCCACCTCCGAGTCACCTGTGACTGCATGAGGCATTAGGGGGACATCTAAGTACAAGCCATAACACAAAAGTATTTTTTAGCCTGGGCTTGTGGTTCATGCCTGTAATCATGGCACTTAGGAGACTGAGGCAAGGCAGGAGGATCACCATGACTTCAAGGCCAACATGAGCTATATAGTGAGAGCAAGGCCTGAATTGCATAGTGAGACCATGTCACAAGAAAACAAACAAAAGTGTTTTACCTTCTGGCTTCTGAGTCTGTGCAGATGTGCTCTTACCAACTCAAAATGTCTTAAATGTACCTGCTGTCTGCATAATCCTTTTGTCTTTTCTAATTAGGAAAACCTTTTTCAAACTTTCCTTATCCATTAGACCTTTTCCACCTTTTATAATTCCTTTTATAGAAATGTAATTCAGTGACACTTTTTCCAGTCACTGAGGTATTAAATTAATTATATAGCATCCTATAATTTGCTGAGTTCTATATATTTTTGTTTCCCTAGTGAGAGTGGGAGGCTTATAGGAGTAGAGCTACAGCCCAAGTTTAGTTTGCTTTACCTTGCTTTCTTTTTCCTCACTGTCCCAGACACATAGTAAGGGTCTGAAAAAGAGTTCAGTTGAGCATACCAAGATATACAGACAACTTCATCATTAGATTTGCCTTACAGAAAACCACTCCCATTCGCTCCCAAGCTGACCTGAAGAAACTGCCCTTAGAAGTGACAGCTAGACCTTCCAATGAGGTAAAGCAGGGGTATAGGAGGGACTTGGGTGTCTCTGGTTAAAATTAGTATTCTCATTCTCTGTGGACTTTTTTTAAGGAACCTGCTCGGAGACCTCAGCGTCCTCGGTCACCACCCTTACCTGCTGTGATCAAGAATGCTCCAAGCAGACCACCTTCCCTGCAAGCTCCCAGACTAGTCAGCCAACCCCAAAAGGCTCCCATTATCAGCAATCCCCCAAAGCCTCCTGCTCTGGTAGCCCGGGTAGAGGCCAGTACCTCCAGGCTGCTTCAGCCACCTGAGGCACCCCGAAAACCTGTGAACACTTCAATCAAGATTGTACCCAGGACCCCTTCTCTGGTGCAGCCACTGTCATCATCTCTACTGCCAAACTCTAAGAGTTCTCGGGAGATCCCTGCACCCAAAGTTATCAAGACTCCAGTAGTCAAGAAGCCAGAGCCACCTGTTAAACCCTCTCTGGTGAGATGCTTTGCCCCTTTGGTTCCCAGCCCATGGGCAGTGCTGTGGGAGTGAAATTGTGTCATATCAAAGCTGTACTGGGAGAGGTATAAAGAGATCATCAGATCCAAGTCTCTTCTGCTGTATTTGAGGAGGGAGAGCCTAGTAGCTTAAGGGACTTGGTCAGGATTACAGAGCAAGTCAATTCCTTATCCAGGGAGCTCTTCACTGCTTCGAGCTTTGGTCTGCCACAAACTTGAATCACTCCATTGGCTTCTTGCAATGTGGGCATAGGTTGACAGCCTGGTGGCTGATGGCCTTGATGGACTGTGCCAGTAGTCACTATGTCAGGGAATGCACAGCTCACTGGTCAGTCAGTCTAAGCTGGGAGCAAAAGCTCCTGTGATAGCTTTGAGCAGAGGTCCCGTGGTGCAGGGTATGTGTGCTTGTGTATATAGTGAAGTATTGTCAGGAGGAATTGAGAAGCAAACTTATCCCACTCCAAACAGCCTCTTTAGGCCATATGAGATCTTCCTTCATATTGAGGGCTAAACAGGGCCCCTCACATTCCCACTTTATATTCTAGGCTACCACTGGTCGTAAGCGGAGTCTTGGGGTCTCTGATGAGGAAGAAGCTGAAGAAGAGGCTGAAAGGAAGAAGGAGAAGTGTAAGCGGGGAAAATTTGCTGTGAAGGAGGAGAAGAAGGAATCCAATGAGGTAAGGCTTGAGATAAGTCTCCCTTCCCTCCCTTCTCAGAGCCTGCAAGACCCCCTCCCTCTGCAATTTGTGTTAGCTTCTATTGTCAAACTGAGCCTCTCACAAGTTTAGTTAATCTCTCAAGGACTGTCAATCACCCAGATGACTAGACTCCTATATCTGACATTCTGTCCTTGCCTAGTATCTTGTAGGCCAGTGACTTTAGAGTGATTTAAATTATAGCATAAAAAATACAAAGGTGACAGCTGATAACCCGAAGTATCCAGTACCACAAGTTTGCCCTTTAATGGTTATAGGGATGCTCCTGACAGTCGATTTTCCTTACAGCTCTCAGACAGTGCTGGGGAAGAAGACCCAGCTGACCTCAAAAAGGCTCAGAAAGGTGAGTTTGGGAAGTCCCTTGTAGCTCAGGTTGGTAGTAAAAGTAGATCCTTTTCCAGTAGTAGCTAAATCTTTGAAATTTTTTTTTCTGGACCAGGATGCTATGTAGTAGCAGACTCAAGTCTAATCAGAGTTCTGAAGATAACATTCCCTTCATTTATGTTTGTATTTTTTATTTTCTGAGAGAAGGGGAAGAGTGGTGGGGCTTAAACCCAGGGCCTTACCCTACCACTGAGGCATGTCCCTAGCTCTATTTTATGGTTATTTTTAATATTTAATTCCTTGGAATTCATCTCTGACAGTCAGCTCATCCTCTTACTTTTTGGCATCCTCAGAATAGATGGAAAAGGTGACTATGATGGCTGGGCTGTGTGTCCCTGGTATATAAGGGGCAGAGAGTCCTTTCTTCTAGGTCCTGGGAGTCTCTTCAGGGTGATCTTGAATGAGTGGGATACTCTAATCTGATTCTTTATTCTCATTTTCCAAATTTTCAGATAAAGGGCTCCATGTGGAAGTACGTGTGAACAGGGAGTGGTACACAGGCCGTGTCACAGCTGTAGAGGTGGGCAAGAATGTGGTGCGGTGGAAGGTGAAGTTTGATTATGTGCCTACAGATACAACTCCAAGAGACCGCTGGTAAGCAGTGCTCTTCTGGGTGACAGTATGACAGAAGTTGGCTAGGACAAGGGAAGGAAGAACTTTAAGCTCTGCTTGTATCAGTCTGTTCAAACAAGCCAGGACAGATGTGACACAAACTGTGTCCCCCATAGGGTGGAGAAAGGCAGTGAAGACGTGCGGCTGATGAAACCACCTTCTCCAGAGTATCAAACCCCTGACACACAACAAGAGGAGGAGGAAGAAGAGGCTGTAGTGGCTCAGCAGGCTGTAGCCATGGCAGAGCCCTCTACCTCTGACTGTATCCGCATTGAGCCTGACACTACTGCTCCAAGTACCAACCATGAAACCATTGATCTCCTGGTCCAGATTCTCCGGTTTGTTCCTTTTATCTTCCTGCTGCAGGATGACATCAGCTCTTTCCTTTTTCCCTGCCATCCTGAGTCCTTGACCCTGTCTGTTTCCTTAGGAATTGCTTACGGTATTTCCTGCCTCCTAGTTTTCCCATCTCCAAGAAGGAGCTGAGTGTTATGAATTCAGATGAGCTGATATCTTTTCCTCTGGTGAGTCTGTCTGACTTTTGATTTTCTACAGTGTGCCCCAGCCACACTGTGTGCTGGTTCTGATTACTGTTGTGATTGCTAGTGCTAAGCTGTGTACCCCACCTCAGCCAGTTCCCCTTTCTTCTTTTTGCTGAAAGAAAGAACAGACTTTATCTTGCAGAGAAAAAGCCATTTAACTAGATAGGACATGAGTATGCAGGTGGTCAGCTCTACCTTACCAAAGGTACTGGTAGCTTATCCTCTGTTATGGACAGCATGCCTGCTTTCATTTTAAGGCAAGTATATCCCATTTCCTTTCTGCCCCAGTAGAGGGAGTAAATTTTTCCCAGGCAACACCAAAGAGCTTAGACTTAGAACTTGAGACTGGGAGAAAGATAGAGAGCAGCTTGTGGTGTGTGAGATGAGCACTGGGACTTGAGTAATCTGGCAAATGTGATATATTGCCTTTCCAGCAGGTCCTGTACTGGACCTCATAGCAGGAGAGTCCAGTTCATTGGCTTTAAGTGGAGAACTCTGGGTTGTTATCAGGTAGCTGATATGATGCCAAGAGTTGTGAGTGCTGTGGAATTGGTACTTGGGGAAAAGAGAGAGAGCAGCTCAGTCCAGAGGAAACGAGGGCTTTGGCAAGTGGCTGCCTGTGTAAGTGAAGAGGGTTTTGAGCATGGGACTTACCTGAACAAAGACTCATGAGGCTGCAGGGGGTCAGGGAAAGCAGGTTGTAAGACAAGCATTTAAAATAGAAGGAGCCTGAGAGCAGGAAACAATGCATCTTGAGTGACCAGTCTAATTATGCTAGTTCAACCTCTGTAGGAAGGAATGCCAGCAATGGTTGGAGCTAAGAAAATTGACAGTCTGATCCATGTCTAGGGCAGGAGCTAAGAAAACCTTTTTTTTAAGATGGCCAGTTAGCAAATAATTACAGGTTTGCAAGCCATATAGTCTCTGTTGAAACCACTCATCTCTTCCACCATACCATTAAAGGATCCATAGACACGCCATCACAGAATACATGCGGCTATATCAGTTTTATTAAAGCTTTATTTACAAAACAGGCAGGGGCTACGTCTTCTATCCCTCCTCTTGAGATATCTTTGATAGCAGTGTGTTTGGGTAGTGTATGTGGTAAACTTGGGCAGGGAGATTGGTTCACCTTGTAAAAAGGTCACAGGTGGGAGGGTGGTGGGAGTGGGCCAGTTGGTGAATGAACTGTGCCAGAGGTTAATGACAGATATGCCATTCATTGACTGGCAAGTCACAGGGAAGATGCAGAGACCACATCTGCTATGTGTCTCTCAGGCCTGTTGAGAACTGGAGGCTGATGTAACTAGGAAAGAAAAAGGCCAGAGGTATAAGGAAGGTGATGAGCTGAGATTTGTGCTCTGGCAGAAGCAAAAGCAAGTGCTAGCATCGTGTTTTGGTGGTGTGCAGTGGTGGGTCAGAGAGATAAAAATGAGTGCCCCGGAGGGATGAGGGGGTCAGAGCTGAAGGGGAGGGGAAATTGGGAGTCATTTTCCATTAAGTGGGATTTTGTAAGTTAGAATAACTGTTTTCCAGGAAAGTGGACTATAACTACAGAAATTAATATATCCAAGATGTGCCCTTGTTTAATGGCTGTATGCCTGGTGCAGTTTGCCAGAGATGAAAAAAATGGGTGTGTTTTTTTTTTACTTTGAAATAAGCTAGTTGAAGAAACTAGAACCTAGAGAAGGAAAAGTGGCCCAGACCAGAAACCTACTCACTTCTTAGGATGAATCTTGTTCTCCCCGTAATGCCACCTTGTTCTTCTGTGAAGGAAAGGGCACAGCATTCAATGTGGAGTTAGAAGGTGGCAGAATATATGACAGCATCCTGATAGACGGCTATACACTTAAAATTTTGCCCATAGGAAAACAGACAGGCAGTGAGGTCAGGACAGGACAGTGAGATTTGGCTGGCATCTTCTTGTCAGAAACGGGGACCAAATAGTCTCCCTGGGTCCAAAGTAGACAATTTAATTCATATTTGTTGCTATTGGCTTAAAGTTGTTGCCAAACTCACAAAGCCTGCGTACAGTGGAACCTCTGCAGTGAGCACAACTTTCCAGCCCAAAGCAAAGTCAGTCTGAATTTCTGAATCCAAAAATGATATCTAGTGTATTTTTGTAAAAGCAGGTATAATACAAATTTGACCTCAGGTTATAATCTCTAAAACCACTGTAAACTTTTTTTAGTGTCAGGAACTCAGCAGAATCTAAGTTCATTATGTTCTTATCAGTTTGTAAATGCTGATCCTTTTCCCCATCATACCAAATCAGGAGTTCCATGAAGTCTTGTAATATTTTCAGGGTTCTCTTTGGGACCTACAAATATTAAAGTATAATTTTAAAAAATCAAATTAAGAGTTGTTGTGGATCCACAGTTGCCTCAAAATAAAAAGTTAAAAAAAAAAAAAAACTAGTATAAACCATCATCCTCATGATGCTGTATACTGAATTTTAATGCTTTGAACCTGGCTTGAATTCTATTTTGCATGCCAGGATGATTTTTTTTTTTTTTGGTGTGTCTGCCCAGAATGTGACGTTTCTTTTAGCATCCATTTTAGAGGATACTAGTTTAATTGTAAGGTGAACAATTAAGTTAAACACTTTCAGGTAATGGTTTAAAAAAAAAAATGGCAGTCAGAAGCGTTTCTGTGCTGACAGCTTATATATCTTCATAAAATAAAATAAGTACTAGAGTTGGTCAGACTGCAATGGCTAGGACCATGGTTGTTTCTGTTCATCAGAATGACCTCCTCATTCTCAGTGACTTCTGATTAAATCATGTTATAAATTTGAGCTTAGAAAATGCACTTAACCTAAAGAGATATTAGGCCAAAAAAATTATACACTGAGATTCCATATAACATTTTATATATATATATTATAACATTATACATATAAAATGTTATATAGATATTTGAAATAGATATTTTGCTGCCTTTTTAGAGTTTGAAAAAGCCATCTGTCTATAGAAGCTGGTAATTAATAATACTACATTTGGGGCTGGGGATTTAGCTCAGCAGCATAAGCACCTGCCTTGCAAGCAGGCGGTTGTGAGTTCGATCCCTGGTACCAATAAAAAGTTAAATTAAAAAAAAAAAAAGAAAACAAAAAAACACAATATTACACTATTCCTTGGAGGTTTGGGGGCATCAGAGGTGACAATAAAATTCTCTGATGCTGGAAAATATCTACTTAGAGAAATCTAGAGGTCTTGGTAGGTGCTTAATAATTTTTATGGAAATATTTTGATCCTGGAACTGTTGGCTAACTTCAAAGTGGACTGTCAGAGAGACCTATTTTGAAGGAGGTATGATTGGGCTGGGAGAGTTATCCTGGCACCTTTTTTAATCTGGCATGCTAAACACACACCCTGTACCCCCTGTATGTGGGCCGTTATCTCATGACTTGCTGTCTACCAAAGCACTTTACTGAGTGCTTTACCTCAGTGATCATGACCTCATCCTCATAGCAGCCCCATGAGGCACAAATTAAGTTTTCTCTACTTTGGATCCAAGGAGACTACTTTCCTCTTGTCTCTGAGACCTTTCTTCAAACATCCTTCTGGAGTTGTGCCTGTCTAGAAGGACCCTGCTGACTCCTCTCTGGCTCCCTCCACAGAAAGAATACTTCAAGCAATATGAAGTAGGGCTCCAGAATCTGTGCCATTCCTACCAGAGCCGTGCTGACTCACGGGCCAAGGCATCTGAGGAAAGTCTGCGCACCTCTGAGCGGAAGCTCCGTGAGACAGAGGAGAAGCTGCAGAAGCTGAGGACCAATATTGTAGCACTCCTGCAAAAGGTGCAGGAGGTGAGCCAGGCAGCCCTCTCATTGCAGCTGGACCACCTGATTGTTCAGGGAGGGGGGGCCAGGCACCTCCTGCTCTTTTCTCACAAGACTGTCCATTCACAGGAAGCTGTGATTTCAATCCTGGCTACACAGCATCCTGATCAGGAGGGCTTAAGGTGCTATCACTGCCTAGGCCTCCTCCCAGCCAGACATACCTTGTACAATACACCTGGTTTGTGAACTTTTCAAGCTATAAAACAAAGTTCTTCCTTTTCCACATAACACCTAGAACTGGGGAGTCCCCCTTAGATAAGTGTTAATCAAGGCAGCAGACAACTGAGGGCCTACTCTGTCCTTTCCTCAGGGTCTAGGGAGAACAAAGACAGGCCAGATAAGATTCCAGTTCTTGCTGCCCCACATTCTGGTGGAGGAGACAGAGCTACTGATGGTACGCTGTGCTATGAAACAACTAATAAGAGATGGAACACTGGGGAAGGCCACTTGTCTAGGGTATCCAGGGTGGCCTTTAAAGAGGTGGTGTTTGAGCGGAGGATGGGTACTGACCATGCAAAGAGTGGGACATGAGCACTCCTGCCAGAGAGAAGATGAGCAGGACATGACTTCAGAGGGGAGTTGTGTGTGGTACGAGTGAAATGATTATACAAGGTGGGATTTGATCATGAGAGTAGTGGGAAGCCACTGGAGGGGTATAGCATGGTTCATTTTTCAGTATGACACTCTGGTGGTTTGGAGGTGTAAAGGTTAGATCCAGAGAACCTGGTGAGATTCCCACAGCTGGGTAAGATGCAGCAATGGCCTGGACATTGGGTGGTGACAGTGAAAGGGAAGAAAAGTAGGTATATTCATAATATCTGAGGGAAGGGGCTGGAGTTTAGCTCAGTGGCACAAGCACCTGCTGGGCAAATGTGATGTCCTGAGTTCGATCCCCAATACCAAAAAAAAAAAAAGAGATAGCTGAGGGAAAGGTAGCTAAGGTGAGCAGGAACTTGAGGTAGGGGCAGGGTGTCATAATCTGGGTGTCATCTGAACACATAGATGGGATGGCAATAGGGATCAAGACAGGACAGGAACCTGACAGCCAAGGTAATAGGATGAAGAGATGCTGGGAGAAGGTTAGAGAGGCTAGTCCCCCAAGTACCACTTTTCTGGCCCTGGCTGATCCCTGCCCTACTCTGTTCCAGGACATAGACATCAACACAGACGATGAGCTGGATGCCTACATCGAGGACCTCATCACCAAGGGGGACTGAGGGGCTGGGAGCCAGAGATCAGCTCCCTTGCCCACCTCCTCCCTCAACACAGAAGCTTCAGGGAGGGAGATTTCATTTATGGGTTGATGGACTTAACTTTTGATTTGATTCATGTGAGATGTTTGTGCTTTTGGAAGGACAAATACCTTGATTCTTTGAATCTTCCTCCCTAAGTTTATAAATATTTATTTTTTAAAAAAAAGAGACTGTGCTTGCTGTGAGACCATACTTTATGACTTTTGGGTAAAGGAATCTTTATACTTCAGCCGTTCTGGTTGCCACTTCAGCTTAAAGGGATGATACCAGCAACATCCTGAATTTGGAGAGATTTCCAGGGACGTCCATGGTTTCTTTTCTAGAGGATGAACAATGGAGGAATTTGGGGGAAAAGCGGGGGCAGGAAAGAGCCTCCCAGAATGATGTGACTATTAAGGGCCTCAGATCAGGGGACGCACACAGGATTGGTCAGCAGGTTTAGCGTCAGAAAGAATTTCCTTCTTGTAGCTCTGTCACCTCACTTCTAGGCTGTGATGTCTGCAGTTAGCTCCAAGGAGATACCAAGAGTCTTCCTGGCTGTGGCATCACTCAGTTTGAGGAAGAAAGATTTTGCTAGTTAGCCTTCCCATTCTCACCCAAGTTCTCTCTGAAGAACTAATTTCCTCAGTTAACCATGAACTGTGAGGTTCCTGCCTCAGCTTGAGTCCAGGCTGAGTAGACAGCTCCAACTGGTCAGCATCCTGACCTGGGTAGCACTTTGTGTGTTTAATTCCAAAGGATTCCTCGGAAGGAGCAGGTGTATGAAAGAACCTTGGTACTGAGCTGGCAGAACTCTCCATCTGTGGCTACCTCAGATGATACAGGTCCCTGGAGAACTTGCTACTATTTTTCTACTTCCCTTTGCCTAGCTCCACCAACGTGTGGCACAGCCCCTACTCCTAGGCAGTCAGAAGGACCTATTCATTTTTAGGGTCTTCAGTGGCGGCTCTGCAGGAAGCTCATGTCACCTTCCCTCCCTGTCAAGTCACAGCCTCAGAAGCCGTGCTCTTCAGTAACTACTCAGGGTCAGGCAAGAGTTGCTGAGTTTTCTCTAATGGCCATTGTTAGAATTCTGGTTCTATTTTCTGCAGCTTTTGTCTCATTCCTATTGGTGGCCTCTGAAGGCATAAGAACTGTGGCTTGGTATCACTGATTCAAACTTTCTTGGGTGTGTTTTCACCATTAACCTAGCCCAGGTCAGCATTGGCTATGTTGCTGCCCAATGATGTCAGCAGAAGATAAAGAAGCAGTGATGAGGGACTCAGGTCACACTGGAATCCAGTCTTTCTCCACTTATACATGTGGCTGGAAGCACCTATGATTGGTAGATTCTGGCTTCCCAACCATATCTGCAGGAGAGGATTATTTGGGGAAATACCACTCAGAAGTAGTCTTTCTCCTCTGGAACATTCTCCAAGAGACTTGGAATTCTCCATCTGCTGTCAGTTCACCCCAGAAATGCATTGTCCATTTTTGTCCTCAAACTTGTTTTAATCTAAAAGGAAGATAATTCTGTGTTTTTACTTGAGTCACACTCAAGTGTTTCACTTACATATGTGATCAAAATGCAATACAGTAAGTCCCCAATTTATGAACGTTCAAATTGGAAACTTTCACAGGTATAAAATGGACCTCATGAACATTTGTAGGTACAAACAAATTGTGGAAGTAGCTCGTGTGTCTGCTGGACATTGTCACAGTTGTATTGCCTACTGTACAGTGTGCTAGTATACAGTAGTACAGTGCTCAGAGCCCAGGATGTCTGGAAGCAATAGGAAAAGTAGTGGCGATGTGGAAGGAACTGCTAGGAAGCACAAAGCAATAAGCATGGAAACGAGTGAAAATATTTGAGACTGGATTAAGGCAAAAAGATGGTAGATGTCCCTTGTTCTTTTGTGTGTGTGTTTTATGCTTTACATTGTATATTTGTGTAAAAGATGTATAAAACTCACTTTGTGGGACTTAGGAATATGACTTAATGAATATTCCCCAGGAATGAAGCTGGTTCATTAAGTTGGGAACTTACTGTATTACAACTTCTCCTGGTGAGACTTCTGAACTTAGTTTGTGTTCTCAATGAAAACCAGCACCTTCCAGCTCTTGTTTTTATCCTATGGCTTTAACCAGTCTTCAATGTCATCTTTATCTTTACCATCTTTATTGTTTGTGCTTCACCTTCCTTAACACAGAAATAGACTAAATTTCTTGACTTCTGGGTGTGCTTTGCTGAACAGCAAACTCCTGGTAAAGATGGGATGGGCTACAAAATGCAAAGCTCTCCCTCTCCTGTCAGCATCACGAGACAGTTGACTGGCATGGACCTGTCCGGCAATATGAAAGGAAGAAGAAAGTCTGGCTTATCTGTGATAGGATCCTTAGCCCAATGGTGCAAGAAAGTGAGGGCAGTAATCTACTGAAGGAAGGAGAGATGAGGATTTTGATTGGCTGTTTTTTTTTTTAAGTAGTGTGTACATGGTTTTAAAAATTGTGAGCCAGGCATGATGGCACATAACCTATAATCCCTGCCCTCAAGCTGGATCATGAAGAGCAAGACTTCCACCCAATTCCCAAATTCTCTTGAGTGTATCTATCCTAAGTGCTCATGCACACACACACACACACACACACACACACACACACACACACACATTCTATTGTTTTCCAGTAAATTTTAGAACCTGTTTCAGAATAGTCCAGAAGGGTCTACTTACTCTTCTGAACAACCACAGAGCGTATCACTGTTCTGGATGTATTCTTGTCTAATATTCCCTTATTTGTGAATATTTGGGAGGTTTCTAAGATACAGAAAAACTACCGAGTATAGTTACTCATTAACTTAGACCTATATTTACAAAGGGTAAATTATAAAAAGGAAAATAGGTATCAGTACATTAAAAATTTTAAGCTATACTGCCACATTACTTTGAAGGAAAAACTTCAAATGCCAACTCTGAACAGTGGCCCACCCACAGCTTGCCAATATGTATGTAGGTCTTTACTAATTGTGTAAGTTGATGGATTGGAGTCCATTTGAATTAATGAGGTTAAATATCTTTATTGGCCAGTAGTTTCTCTTCTGCTACATGGCAATAGTTAGCTCTAAATTTTGGGTTAGGGAACTTTTTGTAAATAAGATGTAAAAAATAAGGTGCAAAATCCTCAGGAAAATCTACCTTATAGGACGACTCAGCCCCTAAATGCCCCAGGGGTTTTTGAATTAAAAAGCCCACTTCTGTCTATTACTGGGTCAGGACAAGGATATGACATTCTTGTTTACTAAAAGAAATTAAAGATTAATAATGGGCTTAAAAAACTGCTTCCTTAATGTGTCCTAGCAACTCTGTCTTTTTTGCCTTGTTAGGTCTACTCTCCTTGCTCCTTTGTGAATTTTGAATCCCAAGATTGAAGTAGCACTGCCCAAGTAGCAGCTGTGTGGGCCAGTGTCAAGTCTGATAGCTTCAAACTTTTCCCACTTACATAGAACTCAGGCCTTGACCTGAGTGCTTTGCTTCCACTTATTGCTTGTTTCAGTTAGGTCATTTGCAGCTGAGTTACGATTGTGAGGGATCTATTGACAAGTCTCCAAGGTTCCTAAAACATTCCAAGAATTCCACTGTAGGGATTTGGCCTTTCTTGGAAATGGAACTGCTGAGGCTTCCTATGAATGGCCATATAGATTTTGGTTCTTGGCACAGTTTTGCAGCCATCTTGGACATGGAGGAGGCAGAGAACTCCAAAAGAATGTGCCTTCAGACTCGTTAGTTTGGATTCTGCTGGAGGTACCCTTTCCATAGTGACAGGAAAAGGACCTGGCAAAGCACACGCTAAGATGTTTCTAGACCTGCTTTTCAGTTTAGCTGTAATCATTCAGTAACTTGCTATCCATGAAACAGACCCAATCATGGCCAATGGTGGATCCAGTAAAAACATTCCTTCCTGTTTTCAGTATCCCAGACAAGTCATTCCATTTTGGCTGTAGTTCCTCTAAAATGAAGGGATTGGACGATGGTAGATATTTTCCAGTTTAGCTCCAGAGCCAGGTCTCCATCTGAAATTTATCCAGCCCTGAATAGCCAGTGATAGTGGAGCTACTCCGGTTGAATCTGATTGGAGGTTCATTGCCTCTTGCTGTCTCAACCTCCAGTCCTTACTTGGAAGATTCCCTAATCTCTACTTAGTTGTAGGCCTTCAGGTGCTTACTAGTGACCCCTGTAGGGATACTGTGCATTTTCCAGGGCTACCATTATGGCCTTCTAAACATTTAGCCCGGTGCAGTATCCTACAAGGATGAAGGCTGGACTTCCAAGCAGCCTCCCATCTGGCCTATAATGCCTATGATATTTTTCTCAGTAGCTGCCAGTCAAGGTCTTGACAAATGGGACATAAACTTGGACAAACTTACACCAGTGAGAGGGTAAGGAACCAGCAGACATATCCAGCCTCCTCTCGTGTACCTTCTAGATTGCTGAGATATTTCCAAGGGTCCCCAGTGGCTGTAGATTTCTCCCCAAACTGGCCAACTCTCATCTGCTAGTGTCTTACCGTCCTACATCCTCCATTGAAAGTTCTGAGCTCTCGATCCCCTCCTAATGCCTGGCAAGTTAGACCAATCAAGCCTGGGTTTTGGACACCCCAGTGGTTAAGGAAGTTGAACTACTCATGGTTAATCATCAGCTACCGCAGTACAACACATGCCAGAGGAGTAATTGTAAATTCTTACCTGACCCAGATGAAGCTAGCACTACCGCACTCTGGAGGTTTCGCGAGTGGCCGATGTCAGCGCTATCCGTGTACTGGCCAACGGTAGTTTTCCAAATAACGCCCACCGCAGCCCAGAATCTTAAGCTAGGCCCAACTGCGCATGGGCAATTATTGCTAAGCGCGCTTGGAGCTTATGCGCACTCACGGACGCTGGGTCTCGAACGTTTCCACACGCGGTTATTTCAGGACTGGGGCGTCCCTACCCGAAGCAGAAGAATGAAGGCCGCCTAATCCCCTCGGGTCTGCCTAGTCAAGTTCAGAGTAGAAGTGAAACCTTTTCCTTCAATTATTTCCCAAGTTTTTGAGAGGCTATTAGAGGTTTTGTTTGTTTGTTTTTGGACAGGTGCCTTTTTTGGCTGGGTGTCCTTATTTTTGCAAGGTAGAAGACTTGGACAGAGGCTGCTTGTTTTTTCCTTTTCTCATAAAGGATCAACTTGTGTGCCAGCCTGTGAGCCTCTCTCAGGGCCTAACCTGAGAGGTCTCCAGGTTTCACAACGCTCATTTTCTACGGGTTTGCCCTTGCCTTGGTTTGCGATATTTGTTGAAAGGTAAGCATGTTTTAGGTTTGTGTGTTTTCTGCCATGCTGAGGAAGATCTACCCTCTTTTCACCAGTGCTTCTGCCGCAGTGTTAATTTTTCTGTTAACCTTCAATCCCAATGGAATGTATTTTAGTCAAAACCACAAGCAGGAATCAAACTTTGTCGTCCTCCCACCCTCAGGTGGAAATTCACTAATGCTTTATGAACCATTTGAGCTGTTATTTATATTTCCTTGTGTTTGGTTTGAATCGGGTTAGAGGCACCTCTTAGGTAAGTGGAGACATCGGGTCGTTACTTGCACAGGTGAGTGTGATGTTAAAGCTGTAGCTGAAACTAATGTTGGCAATCCTCAGCATCTAGAAGGATCACTTAAAAAAACTTTTCAGGCTATTAGTATTCTCTCATCAAATTTTAAATTGCTTAATGCAATTCTCTTCTATACTCATCTTTTTTTTTTTACAAGTTTCATTGAGATTTTAAATTATAATTGCTTTAAATGTAAATGTTTTGAGAATGTTGACATTTTTATGATATTAAATCTTCCCAGAGGATATGAAATGGTTTTCCATTTGTTCAAGACTTCTTTTCTGTCCTTCAGTAAGATTTTATAAATTCTTCAAGTGGATTCTATAACTTTCTTGGCCAGTAAGATATTTTTCTCATTCAGCTTTTTATAACTTAATGGTTATAAAATTTACTCCTGTTTTTGTGAGTTGTTGCTATTGTGTTGGTATACTTTTTTTCTAGTGTTCACTGATTATTAATATGGAGAAAAGCTGTTACAGACACTGGCAGTTGTAAAACTAAAGCTGTGTTTTGTTTTGTTTTTTAGAGAGACTGCTTACAAATTTGCCATTTAGTTTTACTTAGGAACTCTGAAACAATGTTACATCACTCCTGATCTTGTTTCTGATGTGACTGAGATCTGCATGTGAAGGTTGAGCAGGTTGTTTAGCTATTGCTTTGGGTAAATGGCCTTTGAAGTGTTTACCTGTATCTTGGGACCTCTGAACTCATATGTAGCTGCTGTCCTACTTGAGTGTAACCAACCCCAGATGGCAGCACTATGCAAAATGAAATGTGTGTTATGTCCCCTGGAGACTGGCTGAATTTTGTCAAGTGCCTTTTCACCATCTGTTTAACAAGCAATATGGAAATGAACAATTTTTTCCCCATGTATTTACCAGCCATTTGTACTTCTTTGAAGAAGTCAGTTCATTTGCCCATTTACTGGGCATTTTTATGGTTTCTTTTTTAGTTGTTTATTCTGAAAATTAATCTTCAGAAGAGTAGCTGGCAAAGATTTTCTCCCATTCTGTAAGCTGTCTCATGGCTGTGTCCCATCCTTAACTTTGAGAAGCTTTTTATATGCATGTCTGAATCTGCCAAAACAGAACCCATTAATCTATATAACAAATATGCACTAATAACAAAAGAATAAGACACAATAAGTCTAGTCTGTCTCTAAAAATCAATTTTAAAAACCTTTATGGTATTTTCTCCTGTAAACCATTATTTTATTTTTATTAGACAATAGCCATAAAGGTTTACAGCATAAAGCACTTACAAATTAGGAAGATACATAAGTGTTATCATCCAGCTGGTAAATTCTTGTCTTAGACCAGATAGAATTACAAGGCAAAGAGTCAAGAGAGGACTGAACAAAAATATTTATTATAGAACAAGTTCAGAAAGCAGCAATTATTGTAAAGCAAAATCAAATGGTTCTCAGACAAATGAACCTAGGAGGGGCCTGAAAGGGTTATCCAAGGGACTCTTGTCTAGGCTTTTTTTTTTTGGGTCAAGGGGTTTTTATACCTAAAATGATACAATCAGGAAAGTGTGATGTAGAAGTGGGCCTATAGGAGTTTGGGGTAGGTAGCAGGTGTTCTTTTGTAAGTACCATTAATTGTAACTTTAAACAGAACAAAGATATTTTTTACAGAGGTATGGATATTTTATTTTTGGACATGAAAATTTTGTAAATCCATTGAGGCTGTTGTTTGTTGACCCTGAAGGTGTCTGTTCTTGGTCGTTGGATGTATCTTTCATGGAATCTGTCTTTGGCGTGGCCCCTGGGCTATGTCTATCTCCATTTGCCAGGATCAGGCTCGCAACCTTTACATGTACACAAATTTCCAAGCTACACCTCACTTTTTTTTTTTTCTTTCTTGTCTTTTTCCTTTTTATCGGTACCAGGGATCGAACTCACGACTGCCTGCTTGCAAGGCAGGCGCTTATGCTGCTGAGCTAAATCCCCAGCCCTCTACACCTCACTTTTAAAAGTGAGTCAATTTATGGCCGTTAGCTATCTCCTGGAAGTTGTTGTCCTTTTATGAATTATAGTTATGAATTTCTTGTCGTCTTTTTACCTTTTTTCTATCCTACTTACAAGGAGCACCCATCTCCTGATTTATTATTGTAACTTTATAAATTCCTATGGTCTTTCTTGAATCCCTTTCCTCCCTGCTCAAAGTTAACCCACAACCTGAATAAAGATCATGTTATCTTAATAACTGTTTTGCTGTGCTGCTTTTGAACTTAGACATAACATTTACTATTTTGCAGTCTGCTTTATATTTCCACTGCTATGTCTCCAACATTCATCATGTTGTTGGGTGTGGGTGTAATGTATTCATTTTTCACCACAGTATGGAACAAAATGGATTATACTGACAATTGAACCTGGCTTTTTAAAAAAACCTATGCTTCTGTAATTGGCACTTCAGCTGAGTATTGATTGTTTTTCTTTTTTCTTGAGAGCAGCTGTGAACATTCTTGTTTATTTCTTCTGTACCATGTAGGATATTCTCCATAGAGTGTAATCATTGAAGTAGAACTGCAGTCATAGATCATGCCAAATTTTTTCAGAAGTAGTTGTATCAAATTTCATAACCACTGGCACTGTAACTAGGTGTATATTTCATTTCTCCACTTCTTCCCCAAGAGTATTGCTAGACTTGAAGTTTTTACTAATCTGTTGGCTATAGAGTGGTATCTCATTGTGGCTTAATTTGCATTTTCCTGATTTCTGTTGTGATTAAACACCTTTTCATAGGTTTATGGAGCATTTAGTTATTTTGGTAAAGTGTTTGACTTTTGGCTTATTTTTTTTTAGTCTTTTACTTGACATTTTTGTATATTATGGATACAGATTCTTTATAAGTTATCCGTGTTACATATTTCTTCCTTCACTTTTCAGTATGTCTTTTGTTACTCACATTTTAGAGTCTTGATGAACAGAAATTCTTGATTTTAATGTAGATGTATCAGTTTTTTTCTGCATAGATTTCCTTACTTAAGGAATTTTCCCTACCCTGAGTTCATGAAGAGACTATTTTATCTTACATATACAGATTTTTAATTCACCTAGAATTGACTTTTGTGTATGGTGTGAAGTAAGCCCTCCCCTCCCTCTTCCCTCTTTTCACCTTCCCTCCTCCTCTTCTCCCACTTCTTGGTTATCCCCATGACCTTATTTGGAAAATTTTTTTTCTTTATAGTGCTGTTTCTGTAGCTTTGTCTAATGTCTTTATGCCGTACTGATTTAAATATTTATAGTTTATATTTAATAGTCAGTTTTTCCACTTTTTTCTAAACTTCAGGATTTAGTTATTTATAATATTTTGTATTTCCATATAAATTTTAGAATCATCGAGCTCCATGAGAAAAACCTGTGATGGTTTATTGGAATTATTTGCCATCAGTTTTTTTTTTTTGCCATCAGTTTAAGAAGAAACAATGTCTATGTAAATCTTCCTATGTAGATGGTATAATTCTCGCATTAATTGAGATCCTGCTTTACTATCAAATACTATTTTCCTTTTAGGTATCTTGTATTGTTTGATGTATCTTATTATCCTATCTGTAAGTTCCTTTGGATTTTCCATATGATGTCATCTGTGAGTAGTGGTAATTTTTCCAATTATCATACTTCATATAAATATTTTTCTTGCCTAATGGCATTGGCTCTGACTGTTGTATACACAGGGTGAAAGTGGGCATCTATTTTTTGTTCTCTGTCTCACAAGCAAAGAATATATGTGTAGAGATATAAATCACACTGTAGAAATTTCATACCTGTTTCTAATTTTTTTTAATATTATTGGATATATGCTGAATTTTGCCTAAAGTGTTTTCTCTGAGATGAACAAAATGGTCATCCATTGAGATGACCATGTAGTGTTTGCCATTAGTTTGTTAATTACATTTACTAGTTTTGCTCAGGGTAAACTAATCTTGCATTTTTATAATATCATGATTACTTTTACATATTGTTCGATTTGTTTATATTTTGAATTATAACATTATGATTGATACTACTTTGTAAGTTTCGCTTCTCATACTGTCCTTGTCAGGTTTTGATCAGGTTTGCTAGTCTCAAAAAATGAGTTTGAGAATATTACTTCTTTTCCTGTACTCTTTAAATAGTTTCTGTAAAACTGGAGTTATTTCTGCATCATTTGTGTTTGGAGTTTTGTATATGTGTATGTAGAATTTGTAACTAATTTAAGTTTTGAAAAAAGTGGTTGTAATGCTAGAAGATTTTTCTATATTTTTACTCATTTTATTTTTTGAAAGAATTTACCCATTTTATGTTTCTAAACATTATCAGAGTTGTTCATAATATCCTCATTTTATAAGGTATCTAGCATGTTTTTATGTCCCTTTTTTATTACAAACTTTTTTTTTGCTTATTCAGCTGTTCCTTTGCTCTGATAGATAATGCCAATTTTTAGTTTTTCAAAGAAACTTCAGCTTTATTTGTCCTTTTTATATAGTCCTCCCTTAAATCCATAGTCTTTGCTTTCCATGGTTCCAGTTACCCACTGTAATTTGTGGTCTGAAATAATAAATGGAAAATTCCATAAATAAATGGTTGACAATATGGTTTTAGAAAACTTTTATTACAGTATATTCAAAAGTGTCCTGTTTTAATATTAATCATTGTTAATCCTTACTGTGTCCAATTTATAAGTTAAACTCTATCATAGGTATGTATGTTTAGGAAACAACAGACTATATATAGATAGACTTTAGTACTACCTGTGGTTTCAGGCATCTTTTATGGGTCTTGAAACATATCCCCTGTGGATAAGAGGAACTATTATATTTTCTATTTTGTTAATATCTGATTTTATCTTTAATTTATCCTAATGTTCATTTTCTTGCTCAAATTGGGTCTTTAGTTGATTTTTTTAGTCTGGTTTATTTTATTTTAATTTAAGTTTTTTGAGACAGGGTCTCACTATGTAGTGCAGGCTGGTTTTGAACCCCATTATATAGCCGCAGCTAGCCTCAAACTCATTGCCTTATCCTTCTGCCTCATTATTCTGAGAGCTGACATTACAGGCGTGTACCACCACACCTTGCTGGTTTAAGGTTTTTCATGCTTTTTATTTCTCTCTAAATACTGCTTTACATGTATCCAATAGGTTTTTATATATAGTATTTTAATAATATTTTATTTCTATTATTTTTAATTTATTCATATATTTATTAATGTTCTAATACTGTTTTTCTAATTGTTTTTGTTATTGATTTTGAATTGACTTCATTGTAGTATAGGAATATAGTTTATATACCAATTCTTCGAAATTTGCTGAGATTTTATGAGTGGCCCCAGAGGCTGGGGATTTAGCTCAGCGGCATAAGCACCTGCCTTCCCTGCAGGCGGTGGTGAGTTTGATCCCTGGTACCGATAAAAAAAAAAGAAGACGAAGAAAAATGAATGGCCCCAAATATGAAATTGATGTTCAGAAATGTTTCACTTGTATTTCAAAAACACATATTCTGCAATTATCTATAATGTTCTGTGTGTCCCTGTTATATCAGATTTGTTCTTTGTGTTGCTTGAACCCTTACTGATTTTTTTTTTAATTCTTATTACTGGGAGAGATATATTAATATTTTTCATTATGATTATGGGCTTCTTGTGATTGTGTCCATTTTAGTTTGTATATTTTGGGATGTTGTTAGATGCAGAGCTTTATGAGTTTTACCTTTTATCATTTTTTTAAAGAAATAATTTTTATTTTCTTGAGGCAATGTCTGGTAACAGAAATTGAACTCATGACGTCATGCTTGCCAGGCAGGTACTGTGCACTGAGCTAAATCCTCAGCCCATCCTTTATTATCGCATAGTGACTTCTTAAATTTTCTAATAGTTAACATCCAGTAATATTTTTTGCCTTTTGTATATTTATATTTTTGTAAGTAGCATATAGCTTTGTTTTTATTCAATTTTTACCTGAAGTATTTACTGAAATTTTATGTAATTATCGATTCTTGTTTTATCTCTCATCTGTTGTTGTTCCACTGTATCTTCATTCCTTTCACCTTCCTTTCCTACCTTTTTTTTAGACTGAGATTTTTCTTGCCTTCATTCAATGTTCCTTTACTGTTCTGGAAATTTAGTATTCCTGTTCCTTTAATGCTTATTAGTTTTACATAATGCATAATTCATGCTAGATGTGATAGAGTATGCCTCTAATCCCAGCATTTGGTTGTTTTTTTTTTTTTTTTTTTTTTTTTTACCAGGGATTGAACTCACAACTACAGGTTTGCAAGGCAGGCACTTACGCTGCTGAGCTAAATCCCCAGCCCACTTAAATCCCTGGCCCAATCCCAGCACTTGGGAGGCTGAGGCAGGGTCAGCCTGGGCTACATAGGGAGTTCAAGGCCAGCCTGAACAAGACTTTGTCTCCAATAAATATAAATACAAATAAATTCATCAGACACTAATGCCATAGGATACTGTTTTTAACATCTTTGCTAATCCTCATTTTGCTTTTGTTCCTAGAAAATATTTTGATTAGAAATACTAAAATTTTATCCTCTGCTTTCAAGATAACCATTTGTGTCTTCTGACTTCCTTCAGAGGTCAACTCTCAGATTAACTGATGCTCTTTGAAAGTCATCGTTTTTTGAAGGTCATGTTTTTCCCTCTCCAGTCCAACCACATTTGAGATTTTATGCTTACTGGCCCTGTAATTTCACTATATTGTATTTAGCTATGTGGTGCATTTTTATTTACCCTCGTTGATACTTGTGCTTGCTTTGGCAGCACATATATCTTAGTTGGAATTTGTTGAGCTTATTTGTATTTTTCATGAGTTTTTGGAAATTTTTAGCCACTAACTCTTCACATTCTGCTTCTTGTTCTATTTATTTAAACAAAATTTTTTTCCTTCTGAAACAGATTTAGACACAAGTGGGATCTTCTAATTTTATCCTTCATGTCTCCTAACTTTTTGTATTTTTCACCTCTTTGTGTCTTCTGGATTTCTTCAGATGTCACTTCTGTATCACTAATACTCTCTTCAGCAGTATAAGTTTTGTTACAGTATTATTCACCATTTTTAGTGATATAAATTTTTTCCTGGAAATTTAAAATTTTTATAATAAATATGTTAAAATGCCCATCTGTTTCTAGAAATATATGAAACATGCCTATTTTCTATTCTGTGATAATTTCACTAGTTTTTATGTCTGATTCTGCCATTTGTTATTTCTGGTGGCCCTTGCTTTTCCATATGTGCTTAAAATTTTTAGGCTGTGAATTGCTCATTTTTCATGCAACTTCGTAAACTGGGTTTCATTAGGGCCTGGAATGAAGAGGAAATCCTCCCAAGGGGACTGGTTTTTTTCTCTGAGGTGACTGAAAACACTACCAATTTAGGATTATTTTAGAGTTTCTGCTAGGGGTTTTGTTGTACTATTCAGGTGGTGTGTAGTTGGGCTGCAAAAAAGCAACTACTCTTTTAGGAACAAGTTTTTTCTCCGCTCTTCTCAGGACCATCACTTATTCTGGATTTATCATTATACTGGAAGTATAACTCTTTGGGGACCCACCTTTACAGGAGACTCCCCAAAAGGTGCTTTACCTTGGGAAAGTCTTCTAAAGCAGTAAAAACTTATAGTAAGGCTTCCTGAATCAGTAAATGATAAGTATTTCTTACATTCTTTCTAGCTCATGGATGCATTTAAGATTTTAAAAATTTTATTTATTTATTTTTGTCTTTTTCTTTTTTATCGGTACCTGGGATTGAACTCACGACTGCCTGCTTGCAAGGCAGGTGCTTATGCCGCTGAGCTAAATCCCCAGCCCCTTAAAAATTTTATACAGTGTATTCCACAAAGGAATATTTTGTAGAACTGGTCTACTACATTACTAGAAAGGGAAGTCTTAACTGATTAGGGTAAAGAATGACTTATAATGGAACGCTTCCTGAATTGACCATTCATTAATTTCCATATCAAACCCACTTGGACACATCATTTTAGAGTATCAGTCTTTTGTGGTTGAATTCTATTTGCTTTTGTCTTATTTGGATTTATGAATATTCTTTTTTTAAAAAATGAGTTTGGGGGGCTGGGGATTTAGCTTAGTGGCATAAGCACCTGCTTTGCAAGCGTGAGGTCATGAGTTTGATACCCAGTACAAAACAAAAAAACCCAAGTTTGGACTGTACATTTCAGCACTGTCTTTATCAGATTTTGTTACAGTTATACACTGCTAGCTAGCTTCATGCTTTTTGCTTTTGTTTACTGGGTTTCATCTTGAAATTTTTCTCTCCGGTGTCTTGTCCCCCCTTCTCACATGCTGAGTCCTAGCTCTGCAGATAGGGGACCTTAGGTGTCCTATTTCTCTTTAGAGATTCCTTCAGACCCCTGCCCAAGTCTGCAGGCATAGCTTGTTTAACTCTAGTGAAGGAAACAAGTTTCTTGGATTCCTCAGTTTAGTTCCTCCCTAATTATATCTCTCAGGATCTTTCCCAGCCTGATACTATTGCTCTAGCTGGTCTTCCTGTCCTAAATTCATTAGTCAGCTGTTTACTAAGCTCCTATTTTGTGCCAGGGACTGGGAAATGTTACATTGTACGAGACAAGATTCCCATTTCATGAAGCTCACAATCCCTTGTAGTTAAAGGGCTGGGTGGGGGGAGGCGGAGGACACGAGTATGTTAAATATGTGGTTATGTCAGTTTGTGGTGAACACAGTGCAGAAAAAGGGAGTCATTTATAACTTTCTAGTTTGTTTGGGTATCAGCAGGTCTACACTGCCCCCTTCCTATCCTGTGAGTTTTAAAAAACTGTTCAGAAAAAATTTAGCCTTTTCTGTGCAATTATTCTCCTGTCAGCTTGTCAAAGTTTTGACCTATACTATAGTGGTACAGTTTTAATAGGATTATGTTGAATTTGTAGATTTTTAAGCTGACATAACTGAGTTTACCCACTAGCAATGAGAGCATTTTCCTGTAAATTCAGATCTTTTTGATTATAGTCATAATGGTCTTTTATGTATTGTATTTTTGTTGAATGTATCTGTGACCCTTTATAGCCCATGATTTTTGTTTTTGTTTGTTGAGAGGCTATGTAGTTTAGGCTGGCCTTGAATAAATTCATTGGCCCAGGCTGGCCTCAAACTCAGCAGTCCTGTCTCAGCCACCCAAGTCCTGGGATTACAGGTATGTGCCACTAGGCCCAGCTAAACATTTTTGTGTATTTTATTCACTGGTGGCTGGTATATAGTGTGGTTATGTGCTGATCAGAGTGGTCCTTCCATGTTGCCCTAATGTCAGAGCTCTACCTGTCCAGTGCTTTTCAGATTCCTAACTGCCTTAGGGGGCTGGCCTTTGTCAACTCTGGGCTTTGTCTGTACAGCCTGTCCTCTCCCCAGCGCTCTCCGCCACATTCCAATGAGCACTGCCTCTCCAGCTCTTTTGCTGGGACTCCAGTGGCCACCTCCTCACGGATGGGGAAATAAGGTTGAGGGAGCGCCATAGGCCAGCCCACTAAGCTGGAGCAACAAGGCATGATGAGAGCCTGGCTCTCATCCTCTTACCTGGAAGTACTGGCTGTGGGAGGTGACTCAGTATACAGACCACCAGCTGCTCATGCTGGCTTTTATTAGCTAGCGATCTCAGTTGGTGGACAATAGAAGTAGCCCAGGTCAGGAATGTCAAGCAATGTGTAACTTACCAGGCCGGGCCTTCACCCTTTGTCTTCCTCACTTTCCTCATTGCTGAGACACAGTATCCAACCCTCACAACTTAAGGGAGGAGAGGTTTATTTTGGCTCACAGTTTCAGAAGTGTGGGGGTGTTGGTCAATATGAGATGGATATGCAGACAAGGGGACTTTTGGAGCCACACATCCAAAACCTCCCAGAACACATGATTAGAGATTAAAAGATAGCCTACAGGGCTGTAAATCCAAGTAGGATCAAAACACACTGCCTTAAGAAATGGAAGCTCTGGCCCTCTCTTCCCCATACTCATAAATTGGAGTGATTTATGACTTATCTAAGTCATAAATGGCCTTAACGTCAATCAAGTAATAGCCCACCCTGTCCTTGCCCTGTGCCCTTCATGAATTCCTGTACAGATGCCTTTCTTTTGTCCTTTGTCCATGTTTTCTGATCCTGTCAATAAAGAAGCTTCAGTTTCAGGCTGTCTTTATGAGGCTCTCATCCTGAGGAGGGTGGGAACTCTGTTAAGGGCAGTCCCTCTGGGCCTTCTTAAGAGTTTGAATTGGACATTGACTGAGTAACCTCTCATCCACTGTGGTGTGCCAGGGTTGTGAACTGCACTACAGAAATCCCAGTATATGCATGCCTGGTTTTGAAAAAAAAAAGCAGCATGGGAGAAGAGCCTGCTAATAGAAAGCTGCTTATGTCATGGCAGCCAAGAAGCAGGGAGCCAGGGAGAGAGATATACCTTTCCATGTCACACTGTAGTGATTCCCCTCTTTGGTCAGGCCTCACTTCCCAACAGGATACTCAGCCACTAAACTCAGTGGTGTATGAATTTACTCATAAGTACAGTGCCACATTGTAGATGATGACTTGGGCACCTCTCTTTACCAAACAATTGCTGCAACATTTGTTAGAGTCCTATTTCTGTATACTGATATATACAGAGCAGGTATGCTGTTTCCTTCTCCCTTCAATTGGCTCTAAGCAATGCAAATAAGGTTAGCAAAGGTACTGATATGTAATCCTTGAAGCCAGCCTGACAGTTTCCTGTTTCCTGTTTCCAGCATAGTGCTGTCTGTAAAAGATTGAGCACAGCAAGATGGCAGAGCCACTCAAACCCAGGAATGTCAGTTGGGTGCAAGCCTCAAAGTAAGAGGCTATGACTTCCTAGGGCACAAAAGTTTACATATCAGAAACTAAAGCAACAGCCTCCTAAAACCATTCCAATGCTACCCCAATTGTGTTATGTAGACTGATCCTTCTGCGTATCATTCTCCTTATATATTGCAATGATGCTTTTCTCCCCACCAGCCAAGCTACTCACATAGTTCCCACTATCCTCACTGTCACGCATCCTTGAACCACTCCCTTCTTCACAAGATAATAAATTCTAGGAGAGACCTTGGAGCAAGGTCTTTGTCCTTATATCCTCCCTTGGATCAGACTTAGGACCCTCTGGCTGCCCATAACTTTGAATATGTCTTAGTGTCTTTACACTCACCATGGGTTGCGTTGGAGGGAGTAGATTGGAATTAACCTGCTAGAATTCCAATGTTTCTATGGGATTATAAATATAACATTCTGGATTACAAGGTGGATTGGAAAAAGGATTACAATATTTGGATTACAATATACAGTATTTGGATTACAATATAAAATACTGGGTTTTTTCAATACCCATGATCCAGCCATCTATGGAGGGACATTCTGGATCTAAACCATATCACTCGTGGAGCGCTGTGGGTGCCTTGGCCCCATCCTAGACAACTCCAGAAACTGAGAGACAGGAGGAGGCTGCTGGAGGTCTTCAGATGACTACCCACTGCCTTTCTAGAAGAAGGCAGTCATCAGGGTGGCCCTGGAAAAGCTGTGACCCTTCCCCTAGGTTAATGACATATGGTGCTCACTCACAGCCCTGGGGAGCCTTCCTGGCATACACCTAGCAGGACAAAGCCCCACCATCCTTCTCCCATGCTTCTTCAGGACTGTCCCTGTTGCCTTTGTTAGCTCCCTCCATCCAGCCACATATAGACTCAGGAATGGGGCAGTGGAAAACTCCAAAGCCAAGGGTTTTTATTAGGGGTCAAAAGCTGCTTGCTCACAAACAGTGTCAGGAAGCTCCATTCCATAGCTCTGAGGGGAGGCTCCATGGGACCCCCCAACCCACCCTTCTGGAGTGGGCATCATAAGGCATTTCACACGTTGGTGTTTTCACTTTTGTTTTTTGTTTTTGTTTTTTATATAAAAACCAGTCCTAGAATAGAAACAAAAACCCCACAGTGAACTTTCAGGATGAAACTGAAATGGGAAAAGTTGGAATGGGTTTTTGAGGGCTGGGACTGTGGCTACAGTGGCCCAGTCCCCTTAAGGTTAGCAGAAGCCACCAGAAGGGGTATGAGGAGAGGGTAGGGCACAGTTTATGGGAGCCAAACTCAGACAGGCATGCCCTGTCTTCATCATTTTTCACATTTACATACTATAGAAATTTAAGCAAAATAGCTATTATATATTTATATATCATATATATAAGTTAGGCAAATAAAAGAGTTCAGGGGATGCTAAAATGGGGCACCCCTGGAGCCACCTGAGGATGAGGTGGGATACCAGGTCCATAGTGCCTGGGACACCAGCCCAGGCTGTGCAGAGGGTTTGTTATTGCTGATTTGGGGCCTGATTCTCAGGGTGGGGAGCACCTACAGCTCCCCCCGCCCCTTTTCAGCCCTTCTTGACCTGTTTGGGGCTAGGCGACTGCCCCAGCATGGCCAAGGTTAGGCAAAGGGCTGCTGCTCTCAGTCCACATGGGGGCACTCAGGAGTCCCCCACCCCACACATGGGTTGTCATACCAAAGACCATCTGTGCTCAGCTGGCCCAGGACAGACCCTTTCTGCTCCATCTCTGTGGTCTAAAGGCTCCAGGTGGATGGGTAGCTCGGATAGAAAGCAGGCCTTGCCATATTCAGCTACAAAATGCTCCCGCTTCAAAGGGGTCTGGCTTCCTGATGTCTTAAAAAGGGATTCTTGCCAGTACAATTTTGTGGCAAGAAAGCACACTTGGAAAGCTAAGTGCTATACTAAAAATACTTACTAAACATCATGGCTGAAAAGAAATGGAGATCATTTTTCCTTTTCTAAAAAAGTCAAAAGACGTTCCCAGGAAAAGGCCAGTACCTCCCTGGGTTGGGGCTGGTGACCTGGGCCAGCCAGCCTGAGTTATGTTAAGTGGGAGCTGGGGTGCCCATGGGGCCCAAGACGATGGTGAAGGGGCACAGGTGACCCGGTGCACCTAGGAGATGGAGAGAACCCGGGTCAGCCTTTCCCCCTTATAAGGTAGGAGCTTCCCAAATGTTTTTTCTATAGGGGGGCGAGGGAAGAGGAAAGAAAATGAGGCCGAGGAGGGGGCAGAGGGGGGTATTCAGTACTGAATTGTGTGCATTGAAGAAAAGATGCGCCCGGCTGTGCAGGCATCTGTATTTCGCTGCAGGGGTGGCACTCAGAAGATGTTGGGGCACATGTGCCAGTCCTGCTTCTCTTTGGCCTCCCAGTAGCCACCCTTGTACACGTAGGCCGTCTCTCTGGTGAGCGGATCCAGTCTCTTCTCGAACCACAGCGGAGCATACCCATCTGACTCCTTTTCTGCTGGGCACGGACCAAGGTGGGTAAGCCTCTCTCCTGGTGCCCCTTTGTTTCCCCGGGTACTCCCCACCTGCCCCTGGGCCCCCTCTTCACCCGGCCTCACCTTCCTCCGTGCCACAGCTGCGGCCTGGTGCACAGATCTCCAGTCGCCGGCGACGCGAAAGGCGCTGCTTCTCCTCCAGCCGCTGCTTCTCGGTGTTGGCCTGGTCCCAGCATCCCTCTTCCATCAGCCGCTGGTCCGGCCGCAGGCGGCTGTCAGTGGGCGCCACTCCGCCTTCCGGCTCGTTGAGGGTCAGCGCAAGCTCAGAGAAGTAGTACATGTTCTCCGCGTTTTCCCTGCAACGGTGTGGGTGCAAAGGTGCTGTCCCTGCCCCCGCCCCATGACCCTGATCCCTCCTGGCCCTCTTGCTCCGGCATCTGGGACTCCTTCGGGCCTTGGCAGACCTTTTCCTGGTCCGTTGTCCATCCATGATGAACTGACCCTGCAAAACCCACCAGCTGTGTCCAATTCACCCTCTGTGGCTTGCATCGCTGCTATTTAATATGAGGCACCACTGAACTCTAACTGGTTTCCTACTAGAGACTTCTTTGGGAATTTGTCTCTTTCATCCAGTTTTTTTTTTTTTTTTAATTTCTGACAGCATATCATGGTTCCCTCATATCCTCGTTTTTGATCTGAGGATGTCAGTGGCTTAGCAATGGCCTTTTATGCGTGTAATGTGTCAGTTTTGAATATCCACATCAGTCGTTCGACCTGCTTTATTCAGTGGTTGAAAAATAAAACTTTGTCGATCCCATTTTAAAGTTTTCTGCCTTATAGATTTGCTGTTATACTATGTGGGGGGTTCATTTGCATTTCCCCTTAACTTCCAGAAGTGGATGCTTAGCTCCATATTTTTTCTAATATGATGTACATTTTATTTCACCCCAGGTACTGCTTTTAGCTGGATCCCACCACTTCTGATATATTTTCTGATTCCTGTATCATCTTTGACTTATCATCATATGACTTATTTGGAAGTGTATTTCTTATATTTATAAAGGGGGATTTTTCTAGTCATTTTTTTCTAGTATAATTGCTTGGCAATCTGATAACATATTTCATAAAATACTTGATATTATTTTAGTTTACGTTGCGTTTTGCCACATGGCCCATTATATGGCCAGTTTTCACAGATGGTTCACGTGTAAGAGAATGTGTTTGTTCAGTTGTTGGGGTGCCGTGATTCTACAAGTGGCCAGTAGATCCTGTTGTTCAAATTCATCCTCCAGGGTTTTTTCTTCTATTCATAACTAAAAAATGTACATTAAAATTTCCTACTTATTTTTGGTTGTAAATTGGTCTGTTTCTCTTTATAGTCTATGAGCCTATGCTGCATGTATTTTAAAGGTTTTAAAGATATATTCAAATTTAAAACTCATTTTGGTAAACGAACCTTCATTATGAATGTTTCCTTTTTTCTAGCATTGCTTTTAGTTGTAGAATTTGTTTTGTGGTGTGAACATAACTACAGCAGCTTTGGTTTGGGTAGCATTTTTATGGACATAACTTTTTCATCTCAATATTTATTTTCTTACTTAGATATATATATATCTTGTACACTCTATATGTTGGGTTTAAAATTCTGTCTGGGCCGCTGTGTTCTGTCTTGCACAGATGGCCCGCCCTCATTCCATAGGCTATGCTACTTTTTCTGCTTTTATTTGAACCAAACTTGCTGTGCAGAGCCTACTTCTTCTCCTATCTTTAATAAAACTGGTACCATTACAAAAAGGAAATTTGTCTGAATCTTATTCTTACAATGGTGGTTGAGTACTCATTATCCAAAATGCATGGGACCAGAAGTACTTGTATTTTTAAAAATTCATTACACGTGTATGGTGAGATATCTTGGGGATGAGGCCCAAATCTAAGCATGAAATTCATTTATGTTTCAGTTTAAATACAGTATTTTTATTGTACCTGTATTACTGACTGATTTGTCACAAGAGGTGAGACATGGAATTTTCCTTTTACAGAGTCATTTTGATGTTCAAACTTTTGGATTTCTGAGCATTTCAGATTTTCAGATTAGAGATTTTTAACTTGTACTGACACACTGGATTTAGATCTAATACTTTGTTATTGCTTTCTGTTCTGTCCTTTGTTTTGGACTACAGGTACACATTTCTTCTGTACTAGAGTGGAACTGCTAGGTTATAGTTTATGTGATAGTTCATCATTAGGAAGTAAAGCCAGCCCTGGGGTGTAGGTCAATAGCAGTGCATTTATTTGCCTAGCACGCATGAACCCTTAGGTTTAGGTTCAATCCCCAGAATACAAAAAAAGAGGAGGTATCCAAAATGATCTGCACTAATTTATATTCCCACTAGCAGTATTTAAAGACACTAATGATCCAAAACTTCAACCTTTGATATTGTCAGACTTTTAAATTTTCACTAAATGAATACAAGATGGTATCTCATTATGGTGGTTTTGATTAGCATTTACCTGATTACCAATTATGTTGACTGTGGTTTTCATGTGGAGACTCACCATACACAGTATATTTCTGTGAAATTTTTGTTCATGACTCTTGTACATTTTTCCATTGGATTGTTCTTGATCTACTTATTTAAGTTTTTTTTCAGTGCATTCATTATTATTATTACTTGGTGTTTTTGGAAACAGAGTCTCACAATGTATCTCTGGTTGGTCTTGAACTCACTATATAGCCCCATGGCCTTTGACTCAAGACCCTCTTGTCTCAGCCTTTTTTTTTTTTTTTTTTTTTTGTCTTTTTGAGACAGGGTCTAGCTATGCAGTCCAGGCAGGCCTTGAGCTCACTTTTGTAGCCAGGCTGGTCTCGAACTTGCAACGATCCTCCTGCCTCAGCCTCCTGAGTGCTGGTATTAATAGGCGTGAGCCACCACACCTGGCTTGTCTCAGCCTTCTGAATACTGGGATCATGATATGTATCTTCTATCCCTGGATCTTAAATTATTTTTGGTTGTGATAAAATACTGTAGGATTATTTTTTTGAGGTGCTAGAGATTAAAACCCAAGGTCTCATGCATGTTAGGCATATGTTCCACTACTAATCTCTTGACACTAATCCTGATGTCAGGTGTACATACTGTAATTACCTTCTTCATTGTATACACTGTTCTATCATTTCTTTAAGTTGAACTTTTTTTTTTCTTGAGACAAGGTCTCACTATGTAGCCCAGGTTGGGGTTGAACTTGGGGTGGTCCTCCTGCCTCAACCTCTGGAGTGCTGGGATTACAGGCATATCACACCATGCCTGGATAAACTGCCTTTTAATAAACAAAATTTCTTTCTTATTTTTTGTAGTTCTGAGGATGGAACCTCAGGCCTCACACACAAGCTAGAGAAATACTCTATCACTGAGCTTACATCCTCAATCATTTTTTTAGTTTTGAGAAAGGGTCTAAGTTGCCCAAACTGACTTTGAACTTGGCAGTTCTCCTGTCTCAGTCTCCTGAGTAGCTGGAATTACAGGCTTGCAGCACTGCACCCAACTACAATATTTCTCTTAATAAAAAAGTTCATATACTTTTTATATGTTTTGAAATACTTAAATACATCAGTGCTTTTCTGTGTCTTGTTTGAAATGTAATTCCTTAAGGTCTAATAGAACCTATAGGTTTCTGTATTTTTTACTTAAAGTATTAACTTTATTGTTTAACAGTAAGACAATATTTATTGTAAGATCTCCATCTGGAATTGATTTTTGTTATAAGGGAGGGATTCAGCTAATGTTTTTCTGTTCTGTCTCCACTTGTGCTGATATACAGTCAAGGAGCTGTTTCTAGGCTCACTGTTCCACTCCATCTTCGTTTCAAAATAAGTCTCCATATCTAGTAGCATAATTCCTTTTTTTTGTTCTATTTTCCAGAAACATCCTTTATTCAGCAATATAAACTTAAAAATTTATAATACAAAGTTCCATGAAAATCCCAATTTGCTGACTCTTTAAATCATAAATCTTTATAGTACTCTTTCAATCCATGAATAATCTATCTTCTTCATTTATTTAGTGCTCCTTTTGATAGCTCTTCATAAATTTTTATAATTTTTGCTATAGAGGTCTTGAATGTAAGCGTTATTACAAAGCCCTTGAAATTTTTGATGTAACTGGTATCTTGTAAATTGCAATTCAGGTTATTTGTTGTCAATCTATAGAAATGTGTTTGACTTTTGCATATTCATCTTATATACAGGCACCTAAAATGCTGTTTCTGAACCTATTGATGACTATTAATATAATTTATGAATTTTCCAATATAAAATCATTCTTGCAGACTCGATAAATTAATATGATTGCAGATTTTTATCTTTATAATACACTGTTGAATTGGATTTTATGATGTCTTATTTTATAATTTTGCTTTTCTAAGTGAAATCTGGTAAAAATTTTATTTTCCTACTGCTCTCTTGCTGGTATATGAAGGTTATTCTGGCCTCACAGTGTAGGATAAAAGAGTATTTCCTCTTTTTTGTGGTAAGACTTTATATAAAATTGGGTAGCAAGGGCCAGGTGTGGTGGCACATGCCTATAATCCCAGCATTTGGGAAGCTGAGGCAGGAGGATCCTTATGTGTTCAAGGCCACCTGGGCTACAGAGTGAGCTCAAGACCAGCCAGAACTGCATAGTAAGACCCTGTTTCAAAAAGACAAAAAAAAATGGTTAACATTTATTGAGAATTTTATGAATTCACATGTAAAATTGTCTGGGCTTCATGGTAATTGCTTTTTAGTTTATTTATTATAGGAGTATTTGGGAATTTTATTTTTGTAGAATCCTTTTTTTTTTTTTTCTTTTGTATCAGGAATCAAACTCGTGATCTTGTGCTTGCCAGGGAGGCTAGAAGCAGCTCTTACAAAGTTTTTCTAAGAATTTGTTCTTCCCACCTGAGTTTTAATTATTTCTTTAAAGTGTATCTCTTTATACTTTGTATATACTATGAAACTTTATTGATTGGTTGATTAGACTACTAAGGATGGAGCTTAGGGGCATCTGACCACTGAACTACATTCCTGGCCCTTTTAAAAAAATTTTTGAGACAGGGTCTCACCAAGTCACTGAGTTGCCCAAACTGGCCTTGAACTTGCGGTCCTCCTGTCTCAGCTTCCAAGAGTGCTGGTGTAGCAGAAAACGTTCCTCGGTCAGCATACTTCAGTTCATTAGTTGCCCAGATAAACAATTCCAATTATAGTTCCTGTTACTTTTGTTTCTTAGAAACGCGTGGTCACTATGATGCACATTTTAAGAAGCAATCAAAGACAGCCAAGTACTCTGTCTTTGTACTTTCCCTTGGACCCCCTCATAAAACCTCCCTCCCTGAGCCGTTGGGCCTGGTATTTTGGGAATGATCCCTGTCAGTGCCCATCAACATAAAATAAATTTGCTTCCAAATTGTGGGTGTTGTTTCAGTGTTTCTGTTTGCCGTTGTACTAGGATTACAGGAATAATATTTATTTCTATCTTGATCAGTCTGACTACTACTCCATTCTGTTGTCTGTTCTGTTCCTCAAAGAGTCAACTATTGGCCTTATCAAACTTTGTTATATTTCTTTTCTCTATGAATTTCTGCCTTTTTAAAGGTATAGTTTCTTCTTTCTTTGGGTGTATATGTTGAACTTTCTCTAACTTTCAGAATGGAAACTAAGAAAAGGCCTCAAAATCATAAGTATTTAAAGCCGCACCGTACATTTCACTTGAGGCCCTGCCTATCCCGTCCATCCAGGTTTGGTGTCTTTGATGTCATTCAGTTCTAGGCCTTCCATTCTGAGTTCTCATTTTACTTATGAATTATATAAGAACTTAATTTTCCTGCTAAATATGTGGAGCATTTTTGTAATTTTTCTCTAATTTAAAGATCTTGTAGCTTATACCCCATAAGCTATCCTCTAAATTTGTTGAGCTTTTTATGGTCTAATACATGATTGACTTTTACATATACTCCATGTGTAATTGAGAAAAAGTACATTGTCAGGCTGCTGCATTTATGTATTTACATATAGTTGTGTTGTCTCAGTTCTCTTCACGTCCTTCCTGGTGTTTGTTTGTTTTTGCACTATCACCAAGTGAGAGGGTTATACTGAAATCTCTCCGTTTCTTATGATGGTGACAGGGTTACTGTATTTCTCCCTTGGATATCAGTATGTACTTTCTGTACTTGAGGTTGTTTTATTACATCTACTATGTGAAACTTACGATGTTTCTTAATGAACCTAACCTTTCATTATGTGGCCACTTTTCTTTCCTCAAAATTCTTTCCTTCCCAGGTCTATTTTACTTGGTATTAATAGAAATACTATAGCTTTTTTGGTTCAGTTTTCATGAAATGTCTCTTTTATTTTCCATCTTTTCACATCTTTATGTTCTCTGTGTCTTTTTAGAAGGAGCATGTACTTGGATTTTAACAAATCCAAGTATTTTGCTTTTGCCTACTTATCACTGATATGCTGAACCTGTTAATATATCATTTTTATTCTGCTTTTTCATTTAATCTTCTCTTACTACTTTAAGAATCATATATATGTCTCTTCCTTTTAATACAAACAGCATTTCTCAACATCCCTGATATTCTTTTTTTCCCAAAATCCCACCATGGCAGCATTATCTAGACTTTTAATACTACATTATTTTATAAGCATATATTGTTTTTCTTCTTCCTAGTAACTGTTTAAAGAGTAAATTTTACTTCATGCATCTATCACAACATGTTCTGGATTTTTCTCCCCTTTTAAGACTAATATGTCTGATACTGTTTTTGTTGTGATTTTTTGTGTGGCAAACCTGAGGCGGTATATCACGGAATAGTCTTATCATGGCCTCATATTATTTTTTTAGTGCTTATGTAAGAGTCATTTTCATTTTGGGGAATTTGTACATATGTGCACTGTAATAAATATAATTACTTGATTGGCTCCAGTCTCTTTACCTTGTGGCCGCATATCTGAGGGATAACTTGACTGGAGAGAAAATTCTACCTTCTTATTTCATTGCCTTTGTACTTTGAAAATATTAGTCAAGTTCTAGTTGTTGAAATATCTGACATCAGTCTGATTCCTCACCCTTGATTAAAATCTTTCACTCTTCTCTAGCAGCTCATAGAATTTATTTTTTGGTAGTCTTAATTTTGATGATATTATGGTCTAGATGAATATTTTTCTTTATATCTTTATTTATACTACTCAGATCCTTTTAAGCTAAAGTGGATTCATCTCTCGTTTGGGGAAAAATGTTTGCATTGTTTCTTTATTTTCCCTCTATGCCATTTTTACCTACTTACTTTTCTTCTGGGATTCTTGTTAAATGTATTATTTTAGTGGCTACCCTAGGAATTACAATATCCATACTTCCTACAGTCAAAAGTTAATGCATACACACACACAAGGGCTTGAAGCCAGGGCCTCATGCATGCTAAATACGTGCTCTACCACTGAGTTACACCCGCAGCCACTTAATGTATGTCTTGACCCTTCTTCCTGTATACCACAGCTTTTCTCCATTTGTTCCTCTACTGACTAACATGATGAGGTGGTTATATTCTCAAATTTTAAAGTCTAGGAGATGTTATTATTCTTGCTTATTCAGCATTCATTTAGATTTACATGGTTTTAATTCTTTACTCATTAATACATCTCAGATCTTCTACCGAGGATCAGTTTCCACTTGCCTGAGCTATATCCTTTAGCTATGGGTCTTTTGGGGGCCACCTAAGTTTTTATTTGCCTGAAAAGATCTTTATTTCAACTTCATTTCTTAAGGATGGTTACTCCAGGTATATAATTCTAGACTGGGAGTAAATCTCTCAGCACATGGAAGAAGTCATTTACCTGTCTTCAAGCTCATTATTGCTGATGAGAGGACAGCTGTCAGGGTGCTGTTTCTCAGCATGTCTTTTAACAATCTGCCTGCTTAGTATTCTCTTGGATTCAGTTTCAACAGTCTCACTGTACAGATCCATGTGTAGCAAAGTGTCTTCTGTTTTTGCTTCAGAAGCAATCTGTTTCCTCCTAGGAATCTGACCAGAAGTAGACTAGATGCTGTTCAGGTGCCCTGGGGACCTTACAGAATTGTAGATTCTTGTTCAGGAGGCCTGGACAGTTCTGGACACTAATAAGATCCCAGGGGACGTGGCAACCTCACTTGGCCTCTCACTCTAGCTCTTGTATTTTCCAGGTTTTTATCTCTCTTATGCTGTAATATGATCATTTCTTCTGGCCTGTATTCAGGTAACAGGTAATTTGCTCTTTAAACCTTTCCAAGGAATTCTCAGTTAGTTATTTTTCCTTTGTAGAATTTCTGTTGTGTTCTCTTTGGAGTCTGCAGTGCTACTTTTCATAGTTTCCAACAAGTTATTATGAAGGTTTAGAAAGTTTTCTTGGAGCCATGCAGGGAAAGATTTTGTCCTGTCACCTGTTTAAAGTCGCTGCATAATATTTGCTATCACATGATGGATTCACATTCATTTGCAACTGGCGTCTGGCTTCCACTCTGGGATGTCAGTTACATCATTCTCTGCTCCTATGTGACCTGAGCCATTCTGACCTCCCATGCTTCCTTCCAGGTGGGGTGGTGTCTTTGGCTGTCTACTACTCGCTGGCCTCCTTTCTGTATCTCTACCTTGGCCCCATTTCCCAGAGAGGGTCCCCAGCCCATTACTCACGGCAGTGGGTACTTCCTCCACAGGAGCTTGGCTGGTAGGGTCTGGTACACGGTCTTCTGCTTCCCATCGGAGCTGGGGCTGCTGGGGCTGCTCTGCACGATCTTGGAGCATTCCATCTGCTCATCCCATGAGCCTGACAGCACATAGTGGGCCTTTCCCTGGCTGTCACTCACCACTCCAGTCACCTGAGGACATTGTCAGGGCCCAAGTAAGCACACAGTCTACTCTGTGCCTTCTGGGGTTCTGGGAGGTAGCACTGCTTACTTTTCGGGCTGCCTCTTTGGAGAAGTAGCTGTAGGGCACAAACTTCACCTGGCATCGATCATTAGTTTTATGGTTCACAATCTCAATGTCCCCTGACTGGTGAGAGAAGGTAATGGTCAGTGGCCAATGCCTGTGCCATATAAACCCCACCAAGGGTATCCAGCCCTGACCTGATCAATCCAGAGCTTGCCCACGATGATGTTGTGCACAGTTGAGGTGCTCTTCCTCCATACGTAGTGATTTCCACTGGCCTGGAATTCTAAGTGAATGGCACCTGGAGGCCAGGTACAGGTCAGAGGTCATTGTCCCCTCATGCAGGGCTCAGGCCAGTTCACCCACAGCCCAGGGTCTTGAGAACTAAAGGAATATCCATGCATATTAGGGGGGTAGGGTGTAGGCCAGGGGGTCTGTAAGTGGTGTGTGTGTTAGGGGGCAGACCTGTAGGGACGTTTCCCCTGTGAGCTCCAAGCTTTCGGAACTGAAGCTGAATGTCTTTCTGTCCTGGGAGCACCCAGAACCCCAGCTTACCCAGTGGCATGATGGAGATATACTTTCCCCGGAACTTGCTGGCGATGGTGATCTCCTGCCAGAGGCTCCAGCCGTTCTTGGAAAATGCATAGTGGGCAGCTGATGGGGGATGGTGGCTCACCTGGGATCAGACCAGCTGGACATGAGCATTACTGGGCATGGACCCACACTACCTTTCTGGCCAGGGAGTGACAGTCTGCCCTGTTCCCAGGATGCAAAGTGCCATGGTCATGGAATTGAGTCTAGATGCTTTTTTGTGTAGTGCTGGACCCAAGGCAGGAACAACAATGTCTGGAGCAGAAAAGCAGCCTGTTTGGGCTACCGAGTGTTTCCCAGGCTGTAGGAGTATGAATGGGCCTGGTGTGCCTAAGCTCTTGGGCTGGAAAATGTGTGTGATGGTGGGCTTCCCAGACAGGCCCAGGACAGACTGAGCCAAGGGCTAGTGAAACGAAAGGTGTTGCTCCACCAGGGCTTCCATGCCCATTGTCTCATTTAGTCCTCACCACACCTCTGGGAAGGCACATGTCTGCCGTGCAGTGTTGCACTGTGGGAAGGCACCCAGACCAGTAAAACCATTTTCATGGAGGGGCAGAGTCCAGCCTGACTCCTGAGTGAAGTCATGTATCAGTGTCCTGTTTCAGGCTTCATCTCTTCCCCGCAGTGGACCTCCTCGGTTCCCCAGTTTTCCTTTTATAGTGCTGGACATCGTGACTGCTACCCCATCTTCTAGAATCTCTGCTGCTTGGCCCTCTCCTATCTACAAGCAGCACCACCAATTCTCCACTTTCTTCCTCATTCCACATCTGCTAGGCTCTTCCCTCCCTAAGGCATGTCATGGTCTTTCCTGTGCCAGCTGTGCCACATCTACTAGAGCCACCCCATGGGGAAATGCAGGGACATGTCACCAACGGAAGGGTCCAGAGCCCTGCATCACCCCCACCTCTGTCTCAGGCCTACCCTGTCTTTCTAGTTGTTCACACCAAATGCTTTGGAGTTTTCCCAGCCCCTCCTTGTCCCGTTCTCCATCAAATTCTTAACACATCTTGTCTCTTCTTCCTTCATCTGTCCTCTCTGGGGACCACTCTCCCTACTGTAGCCACCTCCTAAACAGTAAGCCAGGGTCATCTGCTGCCCAGCTGCTTCCCCTCCACCCGCATTTTCTCCTTTTCCCCACTCCCTGTGTAAACCCCTCCCTGACCACCCCCTTTCTAAAGAACCAGAAGCATTTGGCACACAGTAGCTGCCTGTGTACCCCTATGACAACAGGAGCCCTATCTGTCTACTCCCCATCTTACCCTCAGCACCTGATCAGCACCTGGGATGTTCAGAGCATTTAATGTTTGATGAATAAAGAAGTACATTAACTTAGCATTCAAGCCAGGGACCCTGGGGTTACCCTTGTCTGCCCTTTCACATCCCAAATGTTAGCAAACCTGCTGGCTCCACCTTCAAAACCTGGCACTGTACCCTTGTGTAGTCATTGCAGTCCTCATGGCAGCCACAGCACTCCTTTCAAACTAGCAATAAAATCAGCAAACTTGGCATCTTGGCTAATCTCGGGAGCTAGAGCATCACCAGCACCAACAGAACTGCCTGTTTTCTGACAAGGACATTCAGGCTCAGCATCAGATGACGATGAGTCTCCCAGCCTGGATCCTGGCTTGCCTCCATGGGGATGGGATGGAGGTGAGGGCACTGGTCAGTGGGTCCAGCTGCCCAGGCTCCTTGTATCTATCAACTTTTCTCAGTGGTGACCCTACTTTCTGGGCTGCCTGGACTCCTAACAGCACCCTGAAGACATCCCTCCACTTCTGTCCCATGGTTCCCTGGCTTGGAGGCAGGTCTTTCCTTTGTCTGACACCAGACAATCTGTGCCTCCCTCTGTCTTCTAGGAAGCCTGGTAGGAGCTGACTAGGAGGTGTGTGTGTGGGTCCTGCCCAGTGCCAGGCTGGTAGACCTAACCTGCTCACAGAGGGAGCGCAGGCCCATATCCTCCAGGCGGTCCAGCTCATAGGTCTCCCCCAACATGGGGTTGAAGGGCTTGGCTATGCGGTGCACAGTGGTGGAGTAGGAGGATACAGAGAAGGCAGCCACCAGGCACATCTGCTCCACAGAGCTGGAGCAGTGCACCGCCTTGTCCAGCAGGTGGTGGTACTCTAGGTCCTCTGTCAGCCGCTGGAGCATGGACAGGGGCTCATTGAAGTTCACCTGTGGGCAGTGGGGAGACAGGTCAGACCAGGCACCAGTCACTGGATCATCACAGCACCTCTGCTGTTCTGAGACATCTGGGAGACGTCACTGCTCTGATGACACCTGTTGATTTGGCTTGCGGCACTTCAGCCCCATCCAACATTTCTCTAGTCCTTTTGCCTCGGTTTCCTCTGCAGCACGCATGCATCACTTTCTGGCATGCTCTATCATACACTGCCATAATGTTTACAGTCATGCCACTAGGATTAAACTCCACAAAGGCCAGGGTATCTGGCTTCCTATTGCTGTATGGTCAGTGCTGACTTGTCAGAATCAGAGTGAATAAGCAAATCCATGGTCAGAGGCAGCGGGTCTTCCTCATATTCTGTGCTGTGATCTAAGTTTTCTGTTGAGGGCTCCTGTGGAGGGGCCTGTGAGGACTGGTGTGACTCAGGAGCCCCTACCAGCCTTAGGCAAGGCAAGGTTATCATATTCCCAATGTGATGCAGTCTTCTAGCATTAGCTTTCTCCATCCTCCCAGACACCGAAGGGGGTGCTATGATTCCATTTTGCAGACGGTACACAGAGCCAGACATGGGAAGGACTCATAGATTACAGAGCAAAATTAACCAGCCTAGAGCCCTCAAACTCTTTCTTGGTGGAGATGCCACTATAGTGTGGTGAACAAGGACCCCAGTTCTGCTTTTGGACTGCTATATGACCTTGCTAAGCCGCCATTTCCTGAGAGGCTTCCCCAAACACAAGGCCCACGTCTGCCACTCTCCACTTAGTAAGTGGAGACAGCTGAGACCGACAGTCTCCCAGATCTACCTTGCATGAACCTGTTTAGGCAGAGCCACTCCACCCTGCCTACCAGCAGTCAGCTGCTGCTGTTCCCCACATTTTAGTACATAAAAACCTATCTCCTGGCTCCTTCCCTCAGAGACTGAGGACCTTTGTTCTTGGAAGGACTGGCTGGTGAACACAACTACATAGTCACATTCTCTTTAGGGGCCATTAAGAAATTGTCACCCTAGAGCTTTGTAGATGTCACAGCCCAGAGGTCCACTAGAGTCACTATGCCCAGGGCTACCTACTGGCATGGGGATCTTGGAGAGCTCACGACCAATGCAGTTCTTCATGATGCTCCAAAGGTTAAGGCTGTAGTTGGGCTTGTCAGGGATGCGGGCACGCCTCTTGAGTTTGTCTGAGCCCTTGGGCACAAGTGAGGCCTGTAGAGAAGCAAGGCACACCTGTCAGAGGATGCCAGAATCCCCTCTGCCTTCCAAGTCTATTCCCTCACCTCTGACCTACCAAGAGCTAGCACTAAGCCAGCTGTTGGCAAATGGCAGATGGGAAAGACAGGCTAGCTCTGCTTGAACTGCTACCCAGGAGGCAGATCTGGGATCCAATGATGGGCCTGAGTTTGCAGTACTAGGCTCTCCCCTGAGCCACCTGGAACATGGCCTTGGGTGCTCCTACCTCACTCACACTGTCTGCCGTCGTCCAATCTACAGTTCCACATGTGCTGGTTCCACCTTCAGCTTTTCTGCAGGAAATAAAGGGTAAGATATGGACAAATCTTGAGACCTCCTTATTACCCATTCCATGTCCTATAAGAAATTGCCAAGGCAATTCCTCCAACAGGCCATCTCCAAGGTGGGGGCCAAGGGACACTGGCAGCAATCTAAAGAGGGTCCATCACCAGTATCCACACAACAGGTGCTCAGCAAAGCCTTGTCTGGAGTATCTGCACCTAATCCAAGAGGAAGCCAGGGACTGGGTACCTCCTTTGAGTACCCAGTATGCCTCACTGAGCCCTGTAGAATCTTCCTGTTCCAGATAAATCCTACTGTATTCTCACTTTCTACTGTTCATCCCACACCAGAGTGGGGCTCTTGAAGGGCAGAAGAGGTTCTGATATTTCCCATATTCAACATTTTAGGGTATGCCTGGCCATAGCAGCAAGGAACACCAGGGATGGGTCTGGAAACTGGCACCTGGCAGTTGGGGTATCAAGGTATGAGCAGAAAGCCCCCAGGTCCTGGGTTCTCTGGGCACAGAAGGAGGAGGCAGGGACTGGGGACAGCTGAGAAGGACCTTCCTGGCAGCACAGCCAAGAGGGTGATGCTTTTGGTGACTGACTGGAAAGAAGCTGAGGGCAACCATACCATGTAACATTGAGAGCAATGTAATCAAGTTTAAAATATTACTGGGAAACAGAAAATAATTCTGAGTTAGAAATACACTGCTACACACTCTCTAGATGGGACTAGACTGCCCTTTCTCTTGAAGACACTGGGTCAGGGACGTGATAAAACAAATCATTCGGTGGAGGCCACAATTCCAAGCAAAAAAGGAGTAGAGGGAGATTTTCATCAGCTTGCCTACCCCTGGCCAAGGTTTGGCCACAGCTTGTGCTCAAGCTTCTGGTCCATCTCACGTTTTTTAGCCCCTGCACTTGAATGGGTCACACTCATGGGAGTTTCCTGTGGATCTGAGTCTGACAGCACTGTCTTTATTGCTAGTAAATATGCTGGAGACTACTATATGTTCATAGATGTGTTTAGAAACATCCTGAAAGAGCATACTTTTGGGAAAAATGTAACAAAGGCTTACAAATAGAACATAGATTTTCTGCATCTTTCATCTGTTTTCAAATGATGATACCACAGAGGAAGCTGTTAGGACCTTATGCTGCGCTGAGGCAAGATGAGCAGCTGGGGCCTTGTGGGTCTCCCCCTACCCCTGGCTGGAACTGCACCCCAGCCAATTCCCTGTTCTGTCTCTGTTTTAAATGAAAATCTTGATGCAAACTTTAGGCATTTATGATGTAAATAAGAATAAAATCTAAGCAAAAATGATATCTGGAACAAGACTTGAAAGAAAACACTAAGTATATAGCTGGTCAGAAGAGCAGAGGGGCTACTTTCGTGAAATGTGCCTGTAATCCCAGCCCTCTAGGAGGCAGGAGAATCATGAGTTTGAGTTCAACCCGGGCAAGTTAATGACTTAGCATGCCCTTGTCTCAAAAACTAAAAAGGGGTAGGGCTGTACCTTAATACAAGGGTACTGAGGTACAGCCCTAGTCCAAAAGGTTCAATCCCTTTGAACCAAAAAAGTCCAAAAAAGTTTTAAACCCTCTCCCCAAAACAACGCCACCAGAAGGTGCTGGTGTGAGGCATGGTACTATACACCTATAATCCCTGCATTGGTAGGCTGAGACAGAGGACTGTCAAAAATTTGAGGCCAGCCTGAGCTACAGTGTGAGAGCCTGTCTCAAAAAACAAAAACAAAAAAACAACCTGGAGGGGGCCTAAAAACAAGGTGGGAAAGGCTGACCCTGGGAGATGCTCGTTCTAGGCTGTTGATGTCCCTGTCTGTGAGGGCAGGGTGTAGGAGAGTGCCTACCTGTCTTCACTGGCCTCAGTGATCACGGTGATGAAGGATGTAGAGTCTTCCATGGCATCAAAGTACTCGGTATCTTCATCTTCCTCACTATCCTCTCCTTTGGAAGTCAAGAAGCTTCCTAGAGACACAAAGATTCTGCCTCAATTTGCAACCTCAAAAGGGCTCCTCCACCTGCCTAAAGTCCAGCACCAACATGTTTGCTCCAACCTGACCCTACATCCCTCCCCAGTCTAGTCACCTGGCCCTATAACCCTGGACTGTTTGCTCCCTTTACTGGGATAATACACTTCCTATCAACGCATTCATTGCTCAGATGGTGCCTTCTGGAAATGTCCCCTAATATCTCAATATGCGGAGCAGCCTGTCTGTAGCCCAGTCTCCGCTTCTGATAGACCCCACCCCCACCCCCACTTAGGATATCTGTGACCATCCCCACCGGCCAAGGTTAGGTACATGCCCACCTGGCACCTGGGCAACCCTGACACAGAAGGGACAGCTTCTGAGATTGTGCATGTATGTACACACATGCATGTACATGTGTGCATATGGTACAGGGAACTGAGCCCAGTGCTTTATGCATGCAAGGCAAGACCTCTGCCTCTGAGCTATATAGCCCAGCCCAAACTTTTGAGAATTAATTTTAGTACCAGGGATGGAACTCAGGACCTTGCACTTGCCAGGCAGGTGCTGTGGCACTGAACTATATCCCCAGCCCAACTTTTGACAATTTAAACCTAGACAGGGGGATACTTTTGCCAAATGATGACAGATGCCAGACAAACAGCACTATAGAGAAAACAGGCTGGTCGAGTGCACACACAGGCATGTTAAAGTGTGCATGTGGATAGGGAGGGGGTGACTGTGGGTCGAGTGACAGGCCCCATCCTGCCAGCCATGCTCACTCACCCTCGCTGAAGCTCTTGCTGGGGTTGGCAGGCCAACCAGGGCCACTGCGGAAGGCCCGCTCAAGACTGTTGTGCTGCTTGGCCAACTGTTCAATGGTCTCTTCCAAATGGACACGCTGCTCTTGCTCATACTGCAGTGCCCGCTGCCATTTCCGGCTGTGTATCTCAGCTAATTCCAAGAAGTCCCTGCAGGCCTAGGAGAAACAAGTGGCTATATAAGCTCTGGGCAGTGAGGGAAACCCAGGGGACACCATCCAGCCTCTCCCCTTTTTACTGGGGTGGTCAGAAACAGGTCTAGTGTCCTTCTAGTTTCCAAAGAGATATGGAAACCTTGGCCTTCTCAGAGTCAGCTTATGAACTGGTCACCTTCCCTGGGCAGGATACCATTTGGAGAACACCTATATGGAGGTGTCACCAATGGATATGCTCCCTGCTGACAGCTCGAGGATATCCCTGATGCTGGAGAGTACTGAATTTCTGCTCATCATAGCTGGGATTTTAGCTCTCAGTTGTCATGTATTCATTGTGTGCTGGGCCTGACATGTGTCACCAGTGCCTGTTCCCACTGGGGAGATTAGGCCAGACCCTGACTTTGACACAGAAGGAAAGAAAGCCATTCTTCTGGCCTGCTTGGTTTAGAAAGGTGGTAAGTCTCATCTGGCAGGTGAACTGGAACTTCTCATACCTTAACGTGTTCACTAAGGCCTTCAACAACATCCAGATTCTTTTCAAGTACTTAGACAGTTCCATCACACTCCTATGAAGCAAGGGTCAGTTATCCAGCCCCTGTCATTACAGTACAGAAGGTGGCACAGGTCTCAACCATCCTGGAGGGACGCTTAGTGAGGTCCAAGCAAGTTACCTCTAGATTTTCCCTTTCCAGACATTTTCTTTAGCCCAGTAGGAAAAGCCATGTTTCCTGGGTGCAAGCCTGCATGAGCACTCTCAGATGCTGCTTTTTCTTTCCAACCCTTGCTGCATCCACTCACCTGGAGCACTACTCCATGTATGCCATGTGTCCAACCCCACAGGTCTACAATGTGCTTTCCTGGAGGGATATGGGCACATGGACCACCATTTGTGGCACAAAGACAATGCAGCATTATCCTAAAGAGCTGGTGGGAAGAACTGGGGAGGTGATGCAGGGCATTAGAAGAGGGAATGCTGGATAGACATGTCCTTATGGGCTGCCAGCTCTATCTAGCCAACTTTGAAGGCTAGTTCTCACCATTCCTCAGAGTTCTCTCGTTTCACCTGCAGGAAGCCCCCAGCTTGCTATAGTCAGCCCCACCCAGTCACCAGCTTCCATGCTATGGCACAATGGCAAAGTTTGGCAAACTCTCTGACCATTGCCTGTTCATAGTAACTGGATTCCTGTTCCTCCCAAAACTCGGCAGGTGTTCCAGCATGTGTGCTAGCCCATATAGGGGTAGGATAAGGAGTATATGGGAGGTATCTTGGGGCCTCCTCTGAGGAGCAAGTTTGAACCAGCTCCTCTAAGGTAAGTGGGCTCCCTATGATTTGCTTACCCCAGGGACAGCATAAACCCTGGTGGGCACCCAGGCTTGATGAAAACCTCTTCCCCCAGGCTGGGGCTGCTCATCCGGTTCCAGCATGTCACACTTTTAATACCTCTCCTTCAGACATCTTCCTCCACCACCCCCTCAACACCCATGCAGGGAGAGCAGGGTAGGGTGCCACACACTGTCCTCCCTCAGAAGAGATAAGATAGGCCTGCAAATGGGATATGATCTTCCCAAGAAAACCAGTGAAATACAGGGGGGAAAAGCACATATGGATAGTTAGAGGACCTGGGTTCTGGCAAAGCTACTTGACTCCTCTGAGCCTTTGTTCCTGGTGTGAGGTGGAACAGTAATGTCTGACGTACCATGTCTTCACAGACTGTACTGTCTCAGTTCACTCAGCAAAGTCCTCAGGGTAAGAGGAATGGGATCATTCTCATTGAATAGATGGGAAAAGTGAGGCTATATTCCTGGCAGACTCTCAGGAGAAGTACATTTACTTCAACCTCCCCTGTAAGGCCTGGCACTGGTACCCACCCACCTGACCCCACCTAAGCATGGATTCATACTGACAGGTATCCTGGCACAGTACTGGGGGAGAGGGCTTTCAGGCTTGGGAAGAAATCTTATTTCATGTACTTAACAGGGTCCAGAAAACAAGAGTGGTTGAAGATTTAGGACTACTTTGACTTTGGAGAGTTCGGATCTATAAGGCTCCCAGCAGATGTGGAGCCTCAGTCACTGGCTACCATGTAATTCAGAGAATTACATGAAGTGGGCTTAGGTGGACTGTAAGAGACACAGCTGCAGGCCTGACTCTACTTTTGCCTGTCTTGTCACCTGAACAGAAGGTCCGCACGGCTCTGGGTCCTACAGTGGTCTCCTTGTGTCATTCAGATCCTTGTCCCTTTCTCACTGCTATAGATCTCAGGGTAGGGCCCTGTCAACAGACATAACAATTTGCCCTGTGACTAGACCCATGAATGCTGCTTACTCTTGCTTCTCATAGCCCTAAGTTTAAGCCCTACATCAAATTATTCACAGTTCCTGCCACCTGTTTGCTGACCAAGAAAAGAGTATCTAAGACTGCTAGGCTGCTGCTCCTGAGCCATTGGTTGGCTGTGTCACTGGGATAATCATCTGCCAAGCTGGCCTCACAGCAGGACAAAGTGCATGTGAGAAACTCATCGGATTTCTGATGCAGGAGAAGCACCTGCATCTCCTTAGATTGTGTCCAGTGGGCTGCTTCAAGGTTCTTGTGGCTATGCTTGCAATAGTGCTCATGCTCCCTGGTACCCTGCTTCAGACAGGCTCAGGTGAGGGTCTGTCCAGGTCAACAAGGAGTAAGCAGGTTGCAATCATGGAGAGTCTGCTTCTTGCTCCCCTTACACATATGGACCACTCCATTCCAGGAAGACCACACAAGGTCCTTTGGCTCCAAGTGAGAGAAGCCAGGGCCAAGTTGTGGCTTGGAGATACCAGTGCTTCCTAGTTTTCCAAGTTCTTTTTGGTGTGTTTGTACCTGGCCTGGTGGCCTACCAGCTATGCACAGTCCCTCATCTCTGTTCCCACGCCCACCCCCCTGCCATCTCATCTGTTTTATGGCTTCCTGCCAAGCCTCTACATCCCCTGGAATCATCTGTCAGTGTGTATCAACATAGATGCAATAGGTATATATTTTTTCTGTCATATAATACCTATCCTTTAAATCAAGACTTCTACAAGAGCCACATAACAACAGTAATAATTCCCACAAGCTAATAGCAGAGGACATCTGGGTTTCCCATGAGCAGAAGCAAGACAGTCACAAAGCAAAGGTGAATTGGCTCCTTATCTTTACTGTTCACGGGCCCTAACTACTTTGGAAATGACTATTTTTTTCCTCCAGGGGTAAATGGAGTATCTTGGACAGATCTGGATGGTTGACAATCTCATATACCTGGCCCTGGCCCATCTCCTGGATTTTCTCTCTCCCAATCCCTCACATGTGGCAACTACATATGATGGCTTCCTGCCCATCCCCACTCCGTTCCACATACAGCTGGTTATTCTGCTGTGGTCCCACCTCCCTCACCCTGTGCCTGCTATGGTCAGTGCTATCTGGGACATTCTCATGGTATTAAGGTAGCCATTTCTCTAGCAAGTATGACCAAGGATGATATGTGAGAAAAAAGGCAGTGGAAGAGGGCAAGGAGGGGAAGGAGGCTAAGGGTCTTGCCCAAGAAGGTATGTGCAGAGCTAGGGTCTAAACCCCTGTGCACCCCACCACCTGTCTCCCAGGCCTAAGAACCAACACTGTTAATTTATTTTACAAATCTGGATCTTCACTGCTGTCAGAAAATCCCTTTATGGTAGGCATTGCTGGAACCTGTGCTTTTCCTTGGTTCCTAGGAGATGCTCACTAACAAGGATGTCTGGAAATACCCTTGTTCCAGCTCTGGACTAGGGAAAGGAGACTGCCTTTCAGTGCAGCAGATTGCTGGCTGATAAAGCTGGGCATGTATGACCTCCATCTACCACACTGTTAACACAGGGCTAGCTGACATAGCACAGCAGTGAGATGGAATCAAATTTCCAGGATAACTGAGGCTTTATGTGGGTCAGGCAAGGCACATTCAAATTGTAGGCTATCACAGCCAACTGAAGAGGGGAATAGGGTGGAGGCTGCTCTACCCTAAGATCAAAGGGCTCATGTGCCCTGCTCACCCTGTAGACTGCAGAAGCATGCCTGCCCCTCAACCGTGATACACTCACCTGGTGTCCATCCCTAGCTCCCAGGGTCTCCTCTGCTGTTGCTGGCCTTCTCCAGGCCCCATGCTGGCTGTCATGTGGAGACAGACAGGTGCTCGGCTGGCCCTGCTGCCCTGGAATGCTGAGCTGGGCATGCCTTGTGGGCTGTACATTCACTAAGCTGGATTAAGCCCAGGGCTCAGGAGGGGGGCCAGCGAGGGGGAAACTGGCTGGGGGAAGGCTGGGTTCACCCAGCAATGACCTAAACATGGTCACAATTCCTCACAAATTTTGTGACAACTGTAACTGTGGTCAGAAAGCTCATACCCCCTTCTCTAAAGGAGAAACTTGGGCTAACCGAGCCTCTTATTCATACCATACTCATGTTCTGATTCACTGAAGGGAAGGTGGATAGATTCTAGAAGGTAGCCACAACCAGTATCAGTGTGTGGGCATGGCTGTGCCTTGGGATACACTTATAACTTCCTATCCTCCATAGCGTTCATGATTTTATGATCCATTGGATTCACTGTTCTTGGGGTTGGGATAGGGTTCCATTTCCTGGGTCCTGCTCCTTCCTCCCACCCCAAGAACTGCTGCAAGAGTTAAAAAAAAAAAGCAACAAGCACTATGGGTGCTTCTGAGATGTAGAGGGACTGGTTGGGGGGTGGAGTTCTCCAGGAAGTATGGTTCTGGAGAAGATGGGAAGCCTGCTGAGGGACCCAGAAGCACAGTGAAAACCAGAATAGAAACAAGGGGCTTCCCACACCAGGTTGGCCCCAGACTGGAAAGACTCAGCTGCCTAGCTTATCCTCTTCAGAAGCCCACACTTGTGAAGGAGGTTGTGAAGGCTGTCCACCCAGGGGAAACTGAGACAAGGGCTACGCCGCTTGAGCTCTGTGAGGAATTTCTTCTGGTTACCTTAACAAGTATCTGCAGGA